AAAAAAAAAAAAAAAAAAAATAATAATAATAATCTAGATGTTTTCTGCTGTACTCTCCATTTTCTCACATTAGCATGTAGTAGTTTCTTTTAAAATTATTTTTATGCAAAAATGTCCCCAAATTCTTAATTTACAAGAATTTTCATGACTGCCAAGCATGTTGGTAACACGCCTATACGCAGCACTTGGGATGCTGAAGTAGGAGGATCACCCTGGGTTTGAGGCCAGCCTGGACCACCTAATGAGTTCTGGGCCAGCCAGAACTTCAAAGAGAGCCCTGCCGCAAAAAAAAAAGAGAGAGAGAGAGAAAAAAAGAATTTTCATGGCTTCAGAACAGTTGGAAAATACAGGACACTGATGTGTCAACTAACAGAATTCTGGCTGCTTCAAGAAATTATATACCATTTCATAAATGTTTGCATTCCAAGGACCACTAATCCTAAAATACTTTGAAAAATAAATTTCTATTTTTGAAAATTTTACAGATTAGTTCCCTCTAATGTTAGAGATTAACAATGAGCAACAGCATATTTTAAGGGATCAGGGAAGTTACACAATAAAGAACACTATCTTTTCCTAATCCATTCATTCCCCCAATTTTCTAACCACAGGACAATTCTTTTCTTATAATATATTCTAACATATTCTAAAGCTTATACCTCTGAGACTACACTGTGGAAAATTATAAATTATCAAGGGGGACTAGAGAAAAGAAATGAGCCAAAGATACAAATTAAAAGGCCATTCAAAATAATTCAAATAAGAAATTAGGAAAATAATTTGCAAAAGGGTGGTAGAAGAGATGATTTGCTATTTTCACACAAAAAACAGATTGACAAAAATCTATGTAATGAGGATGTGGAAATTGTTTACAAACAAGTGACTGAACATATTGCTTCAATCTGTGACAATACTTCCTGTGTTTGTAATGCAACAAGAGGAAGCACTAAAGGTAAAGAATTAAAACCTTGCTAGGCATGGTGGCGCACACCTGAAACTCTTGCACTGGGAGGCTGAGGCAGAAGAAACACTGTGAATTCAAGGCCAGCCTGGGCTACATAGTGAATTCAAGGGCAACTTGAACTACACAGTGTGACCCTGCCCCACCCCCCAAAATTAAATGGGTGTGGTGACATATCCCTATAATCCCAATACTCTGGGAGGCTGGCTGCTCAGGGAAGTTTGAACCCAGCCTGAGCAATTTAGCAACTTAGAAAGACCCAGTTTTAAAAAAATTAAAAATAGAAAATGCTGAGGAGGATGTATCTCAGTGTGAAGCCCCTGGATTGAATCCCCATACTGGAGGGGGAGAGGAATAACAGAACTAAACCACAAATTAATTGCTCAGAGTTTAGGGCCGAGGATGTAGCTCAGTGGTGCCCCATCTGCCTGTCAAATGCAAGATCCAGAGTTTGATTCCTGGTACTGGGAAAAAAACAAAATAGCTCAGAGTTTAAATTCTAAGAACGATGAGAATTCCTTGAAAAGCAGCATTAAAAAAAAAAAGTAAAAGGCTGACTCCTAAAAATACTAGCAGTTGAGAAGAAAAAGAAAAAGTTGACTGGAAGTCATGGGCAAAAATGATCAAATAGGGCCAGTGATGTAGCTCAGGGGTACAGCCTGCCTGGCAAGCACAAGGCCTTGGGTTCAATCCTGGTACAAAAAAAAAAAAAAAAAATCAAATAGATTGACCCAACAGTAAAGCATATCTTAGTGAAAGAAATCAAGGAAGCAATATACAGTGCCATGAGGAATTGGCAATAGAAGATGGGAAAAAAACCCACTGGACTTAGCAATAAAGTTCTCATTAGTAAATGGGGAGTTTCAAAAGTATGATGTCAACAGAAACGGTGGTAATAAAAGGATAAAGAGAAAATAAGAGCACAATCCAAAAGAAAACAACTTTTTTTAAAAAAGGAAAATTACTTAAGAAGTTTTTTAGGAAAAGATAAAATGAAAACTTTTCTCAAAAGGCAAGCTCAATGGCAGAATAAGTATCTGAAATAAGAGCATAGGAAAGGGAAACTTAAAAGGAAAGGGCCTATAGTGAAAGCACAAGGTATCATAAAAACATGGTAGAGGATAAGGAAATGTGATATATATTCAAAGTATCATAAAAATAATGTTCCATTATCTGGGCACAGTAGTACAGGCCTATAATCCTAAAATTTGAGAGGTTAAGGGAGATCATGAATTCAAACCCAGCATAGGCTACAGCAAGACCCTGCCACCCCCCCTCAAAAAAAAGAAAGAAAGAAAAAGAAAAAGGAAAAAAGCCCCATTAAAAACTCAGATTGAGGGCCGGGGATTTAGCTCAGGGTTCGGTGGCCTGCCTTGCAAGAACAAGGACCCAAGTTCAATCCACAGTACTAAAAACAAAAAACAAAACAAAAAAAAACTCAGATTGAGGGCCAGGGATTTAGCTCAGAGGTTCCACTGCCTGCCTCCCAAGTGCAAGATCCCAAATTTGATCCCCAGTCAAAAAAAAAAAAAAAACTCAGATTAAGCGAGGCATGGTGGTACACACCTGTAATCCCAGCACTTGGGAAGCTGAGGCAGGAGGATCGCTGTGAGTTTGAGACCAGCCTGGGCTACATAGTGGGTTTCTGCTACATAGTGAAACTTTGTCTCAGAAAAACAAAGCAAAAAAACCTCTCAGCTGAATCTGAAATAAGAAAATGTATCAAAAAAAAAAAAAAACCCAAAACTTACTACATGAGTCTCCAATATAAATTTCAAAATAAATACAATAAGAAAGAAATCCCATTTCATTCATTCATTCATTCATTCATTCATTCATTTATGGCTTTTTTGAGACAGGTTCTCACTATGGAGTTGAGACTGATTTGGAACTCACTATGTAGCCCAGGCCGTCTTGAACTCACAGCGATCCTCCTGCCTCAGCCTCCCGAGTGCTGGGATTACAAGCAAGAAATCTCATTTTAAATAAATACATATTCAAAACAGAATTTTAAGAACACAAGTAATAAAACAGGAATAAATTTTAATGGGACTATTAATTATCAAGCCATATCTACTCAAGTATCTCTAAAAAGTAAAAAAAATTCTTCAAAAAATCCACTTGTATCTTGCGTTTTTCTTTTTTTTCTTTTTACCAGCGATTGAACCCAGGCACAGCACCACTGAGCAAAATACCTGGCCCTCTTGTTTTTATTTCTATCAGCAGTAATTCAAACAACTAGAAAAAAATAAATCTGACCATTTACAAACTTATTTCTAAACTAACAAATTCTTAAAAAATAATCAGTTTTGCATACTTTGTAATAATATTTCTAGCATGTATAGCTTTGTATTTTATATAACAGGTTTTTCTCCTATTTGTATCTATAAAAAGAGAAGTAAACAGTTTTACCCTTAGATCCAAATCACTGTATCACTGTAATGTTTTTCCTTGGCCTAAATTTGTATTCATTCCTTAGGACGCTTACAACTTAATATATACACTCTACCATTTGATTGTTTGGCACGGGGATCAAACTCAGGACCTTGCGCTTGTGAGGCAGGTGCAGTGCCACTGAGCTGAAATCCCTGGCCCTACTCTACCATTTGAAGTAAGTTATTTAGAAATACACACAAATATAAACTCCTTAATTATGCAATTATACAAATTTTCCTGCCTAAAAATGTTATTTTCAAGAGAACTGTAATTTTAGTCAGAGGAAAATAGGCTTCTATTATATTCTACCTTTTAGGGTATGTCAAAAATATCTTCAGAACCTACCAATTGTTCTAGGGTATTAAACACATAGTTTCCTAAAACTGAAGATCTCTAACTAGTACCTTAAGTAAACTTGAAATTATTAGTGATATATATAAGAAATACCTCATTCCATATATAAAAATTAACTTGAAATAAGTCAATACTTAAATGTGAAAGATAAAACTAAAAACATAGGAGAAAAATTTAAATACAACGAAAAGCACAACCCAGAAAAACTGACAAGCTGAACTTCATAAAAAGTAAGAATGTCTGTTTCTCAAAGAGGCACTGTTAAGAAAAGGAAAGGTAATAAGGGAAAAGTAAAAAATATGAGAAAATGAAAAAATGGAAATGAAGTGTTTGTAAATGGGGAGGGGAGGAGGGGGTGAAGGGAGGGCAGGGACAAGGGGAAAAAATGAGAAACAAGACCTGTCATGTAGAGGTACAAGATCCCAATAATAAATGTAATTGTACATAATCTAAAATGTACCAATAAACTCAATTAAAAAAAAAAAAAAGAAAAGGAAAAGACAAACCATACTGGTAGATAATATTTTCAAATCACTTATCTGATAAACAATTTGTATGCAGAACATATGGAGAACTCTGAACAATAAAACAACACAAGTTTTTAAAATTCAGCAAAAGGTTTGGAGAAACTTCCCACAGACACACAGATAGCAAGCAAGTATATTAAAACATGCTCAACATCAGCAGTCATTACGGAAATGCAAATTAAAACCAAAATGAAATACTACAAATCAATTAGAGCATCTAAAGTCAAAAAGAACAATCATTCCAAGAATCAGTGAGGACATAGGGCAACTAGATCTCTCATACACTACTGGTAGAAATGTAAAATGATACAACTACTTTGAAATATAGTTTGGCTATTTTTCAAAAAATTAAAACTTACATGCCCCAACCATTCTACTCCTAGTAGTTATCCAAGAAAAACAAAAGCAAATGTCCATACAAAATTTGTACACAAATGTCCAGGGTAATTTTAATTACTAACAGCCAAAATGTGAAAGTAATCCAAATGTCCATCTATAAGTAAATGTATATAAACAGACTGTGGTACATCCATTCAATGGAAAATTATTCAATAATAAATACACAAAACAATATAGATGCATCTTAAAGAAATTAAGCTGAGAGAAAGAAGCCAGACAATGGGACACGGTGGTTCACACCTGTAGTCCCAGTTACTCAGGAGGGGAAGGCAGGATTTCTTGACCATAGGAATTTAAGACCAGCCTAGGAAACAGAACAAGAGCCCAACTCAAAAAGAAAAGGTTGGGGAGGCACATGCTACCAATCTAATGAGGCTAGCTATATAGGGATGATGTGGGAGAACACCCAAGATGAAGCTAAAGATGCAAATTTTCTCAAATTTCCCAGTTCAATGTGATAAATATTTAATGTACTTTAGACACTCAAAATCCTAGCCATTATTTATGTTCAGTCTTCCCCATACATCAAATTACTTAAAAGGGGTAGAAATAGATTAATCTGACAGTCTATAGTCCCCCCAAAAAGTTCAAGGACAAAAGGATTTAAATTTTCTTAAAGAAATAAAACTTTAAGTAGGAGATTTAAACAGACAAATACATACCTAAGAAATTCTACCTGACAGAATTCTAGTTTTAAATTTTTAGCAATAGACCACCAGAAGCTAGAAGAGGAAAAGGATTCTTCCCTAGAGCCTTCCAAGGGATACAGCCCTGCTCAGCTCTCAGTTTCAGACTTCTAACTTCCAGAACTGAGAAAAAATAAATTTCTAAAAAAAAAAAAAAAATTCTAGCGATAATAAATTTCCTAACTTTTCAATCTGAAGAAACCAAAAACAGCAATTATAAAAATCTAAAACCAGCCAGGGATTTAGTTCAGTGGCATCGCACATGCCTTGCAAGTGCAAAGTCCTGAGTTTGATCTCTAGTACAAAAAAAAACAAAACAAACCTAAAACCTCCTTCAAATTAGTCATTTTCATGTTCAATTCCTAAGATGATCAAAACTAAAAAAATGGAATTCCTCTGTAAGTTCAAATTTTTTCTATATCTCATAAGCAGTATAAACATAGTAAATGTGCTCAGCAAACTCACCATTTGTACAACAGATTCCCTTAATCGTGTTTCTTCTTCAGTCATGAGAGTCAATTCTTTGCAAACCATAGCAGCCAGTCCCACATCTAAGCATTCGGGGTCTGCTGCCATCTTGAAAATGAGCTCTTCATGTGAAAAGACACAATGGCGCCTTAGGCGTCGGTAATGATTTACACACTGACGTCCAATGGGCAACTGAAAACAAATTTCTGAATTAAATTACTTGCTTATAATGTATTCCAGAACAGAACCTCTATTTACCCCTCCACCCCTCCCTTTTATCATAAAGAAGACAAAACAATAAATTCCACTTAAATATAAAAGGCAATTATAAATATTAACCCTCCATGACCCAGCCGGAATTTCAAAGATCCTTCCCACAGAAAATTCTCATGATCTAAGATGCTAAGCTTCTGGCTTAAACTGCTGATTTTCTACTTATTACATGTATCAAGAAGCAGGAGTTCCCTAGTATATAAATGAGGCAGCAAACTTTTTTTAGATCAGTCAACATGAGGCTTCCCATAAAGGAAAAATATGGTAAAAATAAAAATTTTAAAAGTTCTCTCCATAAAAGCCTAAATGGAATTATTCAGGACCCGAGATTCCACAAAACAAAAAAGAACCGATGTCATTAGAAGGAAAAAAAAAAGAAAGAAAATAAGAAAAGGTATTATTTAAATACACTGGCTGACTTTCTTTTTTTGCAAGAACCAAGGCAAAGATGTTTTAGATCTAATCTAGAATTCTTTTTTAAATCAACCATCTTCACAGAAAGAGGATTCAAGAAGTGAAATCATAAAAAAGAGAAGTGAAATCATGAAATTATATATTATATACTGTTTTCCATAACAGTGTAATAAATGACTAAATACAATAATCACTTTTTACCAATCAAGAACTGTTCATATATACAGGGTTGGGGACATAGCTCAATGGTACAGCACAACCTCACCATGCATGAGGCCCTGTATTAGAGCAACAGCACCACCAAAAAAAAAAAGCTACAACCTACACACACACACTCGCTCCAACTTCAACTTCTTTCCTTTAAGTGAAAAACTGAAGTAACTGAAAGTTCACTGTTTGAATTAGGAAACTATAATATTAAAGGAAAAAAAAAAAAAGAAACTGAACCATTAAGACCTTTTAAAATTCATCTCCATTTTGATTAATAGCAAAAAGGAATCAGAGGTATCAGAACTTATGAGGCTCTCTCTGAATCAAGGAGTGTTTGCATACTCCTCAAAAAAACTATCATTCCCTACAATATATTTTGAATTTAAAATGAGCAAGCATCTTGACTATTAACAACATACAACTCTTTCATATCTTCATTCTTAAATATTTACTCTTTAATTTTTTTCAAGGCTATAAGAGAAAGTAAAAGAAAAATCAAGTACAGGGTTTCCAGTTTTTAATCATTACAAATATAAAAGAAAGCCATATCAAGTAAAGCTGATTATTCACTGTGACTTATAAAAACCCATTCTTCCTTTTTTTTTTTTTTCTCTCTGAGGCAGGGACCACTACTGTGGACCAGCCTGGCCTTCAACTCACTGTGCAGCCCTGGCTGGCCTCAAACTGGTGGCAATTCTGCCTCAGCCTCCTAAACGCTGGGATTACAAGCATGCACCACCATGCCCAACTTACTCTAACTTTTCATTGATATCTTCACCTTCTAAAGAATATCAACAACTCTCACGTATAATATTTGACTTGTTTGCATTATTGAGTGAATCTATTAGCATCTACTAGGGAAAAAAACGACTTAGGCCCAGTGAAATTAAGAGCTACCCCAGATTAAACATCAGAAAACAGCATGTTAAAGGTAGCTATCAACTCTTAACTCTTTATCTGAATTGTCCTTTTTCCTACCCTATACCACGTCAAGCACCATGTAAACCACAAACAGTAAAAATATTAGCTGAATTTTGAAAAATAGCTCAAGTGCCCAAGGCAAATCCCACATTTCCCAAGGCTTGCCCATACTAAATTATGCTGCTTCCAAAACCTAAATACCTAAAAACCAGAGCCGGGGATTTAGCTCAATGGTGCCACCACCTGCCTTGTAAGTGGAAGGTCCCAAATTGGATCCCAGGTAGCAAAACAACAACAACAACAAAAATTAAAAAAGAAGTTGTTTAAAAGTACTGGATTAGCCAGGCATGGTGGCACATGCCTATAATCCTAGCACTTAGGAAGCTGAGGCAGGAGGCCTGCTACAAGTTCAAGGCTAGTCTGCGTTACATAGCGAGACCCTGTCTCAAAAAATAAAAATAAACAAAAAATAAAATTACTGGGTTAAAATAAGACTACTCTCAAGCAAGACATGGTGTTACATGCCTGTACTCTCAGTATTCTGAAGTCTGAGGCAAGAAAATCACCTGAACCCTTAGGTATTCAAAGCCAGTATGGACAACATAGCAAGAGCCTATTTCAAGAAAGTATTTAAGTATTTGTTCACTAAGAAAACGTATTCATTAGCCAAAGAAGCAATTGTTCTTTCTAGCTTTAATCATGGAATTTAATAAATTAAGGTACTCATGGAAAATAGAAGACCCAATGTTATTAAAAGATTTTCCCCAAAATGTCACGAGGCAACAAAAACACAATTACTAAAAGAAAAATGAACAGCACATTATAAATGTGCAGTTTTTCCCCCGACCAACATGACCTAACCATAACTATATTTTCATATCTATCTCATATAAAAGTAAAACACCAATGAATGGCATTAGCATTTACACATTTTAAGATCAAAAAGAAGCATATTCCCTCAGAAAATAATCAGCTGCCCATTTAAAATCCAAACAGAATAGGAAAATGAATCTTTGAGAAAAGAATTATAAAACTTTCTAAATAAACAATGTGATGGAGACTCTGCTTAACTTCCTAAACTACAATAGCCATACCAGTCTCCACTGAAATATTAATGCCCCTATCCAGAACCCAGCTAAACAAATGACATCTAAGCTGCATTTTATAGTGGTGTTAGTACACGTACAACAGCCACTTGCTATAGAACAGACCCAGTCAGCAGTACAGAAGTTCACAGCTTCAGCAAAGTTGTAGCCCTGGTTAAATCCAGAATGATAGGCACGAGGAAATGTCACAACAAACTCGCCTGCACACTGATTGGTCCTGTACACCTAAATGCAAATTGAGAACAAGGATATTTAAAAAAAAAAAAGGAGAAGGAAGAGACATTTTATCAGTCAGATGGTTGTGGAAGCATTTTCTAAAATTGAAAATAATAAAACATTAACTTAAAAACACTAACAATAACATTAGGATTTAGTAAGTAGCCAGAATTCTACCTTCTTAAAATAGTCACTAATATAAGTAATTCATGGCAAAATCAGCATCCAAAAAATTCCCAAAGGGAAAATGCTACTCACTGGTAACTTGATAAAATATTTACAATTAAGGAAATTTTTTATCTTTGGGTCGCAAACAGTGCTAAAAAATGGAATTTCTCACTATCTTTAGATAATTTTTTGTTAACTAAATTAGCTCATACATAATTTTAGCCACAAAATCAGTTTTACTGAATGTTGTCTTATGATAATACTATGTCTTTTAAAAAGCCACAAATTATAGCATAAGTACACTCTTCTTTTTTCTTTTTTTAGTACTGGAGATTAAACCCAGGACCTTCACATTGAGCTACACCCCTGGCCCCACCCACCCCTCTTTTTTTGAGCAAGGAAGACCTCACTAAGGTATTCCAGACTGGACTTGAACTTGAGATTACCCTGCCTCAGCTTCCCAGAGTGCTGAGATTACAGGTATGGCCTATTGCACGTGGCTAACTCACTCTTCAAAGACAAAATAATACTAAAGTATTAATCTACTTTCTCATTAAAGTTATACTGAATATTATATGCAGCAAACTAGTTAAATTTATACTTTATTAAGTTATAGTAGTTTAAATTTGAGAATCTTTTAAAAAACTAAATTGAAAGGAGAAAACACACTCGTAGTATATTTTTACTTCATTATCAAGATTAAAAGTTGTGGCAACTTTATATAAAAAAGGATAAGTTAATTAGAGCTACCACTTAAAATATCTTTTTTTTTTTTTTTTTGGTTAAACAGCGGTAGTAAAAAACATGAGATCTTTGTTCAAAATAATATATAATGGTCATTTGAACAGGTAACTATACATAAAGTATGATTCATACCTTTTCTTAAGCAGATAAAAATTATTCCCTACAAAGTATAAATTTGAATTCGTCTAGAAGATAACTTTTCACTTTCCAGTTACAGAATAAAGCATACAGATGATTCTAACAAGAATTAAAATAACTTTTAAAATACTAAAATTAGACACAGAAGGACTCACAGGCACACCATGCTCCATTAGCACATTGGGGTTCATGATGGTGACTAATTGATGTAGCAGATCAGGCTGGGACTCAAATAACTCAGGGGCCAGCTCCCTCATCACCTCTTCCAGTTGTTCTGCAGCATGAGATGGTACACCATACCATGTCTTTGGCTCCCCCCTAGCAAAAGAAATGAATATTTAGCTAGGTAGAACATGGTACCAATGAGGCCAGAGTCTCTAATTTACACCCACTAAATTATAATTAACTGGGTATGACTCTCTAATCCCATCCCACCACATTATAATTACTGTGTCTTATTCAATGGCTACAGAATACTGCCAATCATTTCATAAATCTGTGCTATTGTTCATAACGGGAGGTAGGGATATGCTGCTAATTATCACTTCTATTAGAAAGCAGCAACTCAAAGCACATAAACTCTTCAAGGATATCAGTAACTGTAAGTTCAAACAAGATAGACACTACATGAAAAGTAAACACTGCTCCAAATGAGCCTGTACACTGCCTTTATTTATAGGTCCACATTCCAGTTATCTCCACAATAATCTAAGTAAAAGATGATCCTTAGAATATATATAATTCTACTCAATTCAATTTACTATCCAAGGAAATAAGCTACTCACCCATACTTTAGAAGGGTACATGTCTAGATACTCCCCCTTTCATCTCCAATATATTAACCTACTTTCAGGTAGAAAATACTTTTTTTTTCCTGGTACTGGAGATTGAACTCGGTAACTTGCATTGCGAGGGAGGTATGGTGCCACTGAGCTACATCTGGCCCTAGAAAATACTTTAGAAGTCAGTTCTCCTTAATATTATTATATCTTTTAAAAAGACTAGGGCTAGGGCCGGGGATGTAGCTCAGTGGCACAGCACCTGTTTGGCAAGTGGGAGGACCTGAGTTCAATACCCAGTACCAAAAAAAAATAGGGTAGGGCTAGAGATGGACCTTTGTGATACAGCACGTGCTTAGCATGTACAAGGCCCTGGATTCAATCCTCAGTACTAGAAATAAATAAATAAAAATTTCAGTAAGTATGTATGCCATACTGATCGAGGATATACATACCAATGCAAGTAGTTAATGGAATAACTCCAGTGATCTTCAATGTGCCAACAAAAAGAAGAGAAACACATTCCCACATACAGCCATGGCACCTTCATACCAGAAATATCTACATTAATGTGTGCAAGAACAGACTGGTCCAGGACAGGCATGTTATTCAAATTCCAACCAGAAATTGCATACTCCTATTAAAAAAAAAAATCAGAAATGACAAATGCTTAAGAGAAATCTCAAGAAAACCCTCTTTAAAAAAAACTGATGGACTGTTTTCTATTATCTAACATACATAATTTATGTAATTAGAAATTTAATCCTATCTCATTCCTACTTTATTTTCAGATTTCCCTTTATTTCAGATGCCTCTGGTTTACTCTGATGCACATGAGCAAATCTTATTACTTCCCAGCCCTCTGTAAAACAGGGTGAGACCAATTTTAACAAGTCTTATTACATTTCTACATTATCCCCAGTGGTCTAATTTCCCAAAATATTGATTACATAGAATGGTGCTAGACACTGTAAAGACAAAACACAAGATAACACCTAATCCTGAATTTGTGACAATATTGAAAGCTGGTATGATGCAGAAAGTCACCACTACCACTCCTCACTACAAAAATACCTAGAAAACTTGAATAAATTATAACACCGTTTCACAACTGAACTTGAAAGTAAAAGAAATGTTTCCAGAAAGAGAGAAAGCAAAACCAAATTTAAAAAGAAAGCTTTGTTAAAAGTTTCCACAAGGCTTTCTAACTAGATTTAGGAACAAAAGAATAAGCTTCAAACACATAACATATGGCTCTGCCACATGATATGGAGCCTTTAAATGCTTATCATTTTAAACAGAACACTTCTCAAAATGAAGACTAGAGAATTTATGAAGTCTATTACTATTATTATTATTATTATTTTCATAATAATTCTAAAATATTATCTACCTTTTTCATTAACATTCTTTGGCAATATAGCATGAGTTTTCCAGAGGAAATATGGTATGAGATAGCACAGGAGACTGAATACAGAGACAGAAATGATAATCCAACTGCCTTGTAGTAGAAAGTTAGTAACTACACCTGGATACCACTTACTGAGGAGTACAAGTTTATTTTTATACTCTTTTTTTGTTTTGTTTTGTTTTTTTGTTCGTAGCTGAGGCTGGTCTCAAACTCATAGTGATCCTCCTGCCTCAGCCTCCCGAATGCTGGAATTACAGGCATGTGCCACCACGCCCGGCTTATTGTATATACTTTTATATGTTTAGACATTTGTAAAATAAGAGAAAAAAAAATCCTCAAAGCAAAAGGTCAAATAGCCCATGGCAGAGCTAACAAGAGAAATCAATGAACTAGGAGACAGATTTCAGAAAATCATCCATAATGCAGCAGAAAAATATGGAAACTATGAAAGTATGAGTCATAAAAGAGAGAATTTGACTAGGAATTCCAAAAGAGAAATAACAAAAGCTGGCATGGTGGTGCACACCTGTAATCCCAGCACTCAGGCAGGAGCAGTGGCACAGCTCAATGCCACCCTGGGCTACATAATAAATTCAAGGTGAGTCTGGACTACATCTAAAGATGAGGAGGGGGAAGGGAGAGAGGGGATCCTATTTGATAAAAAAAGGAAAGTAGAAGGGAGGAAGGGAAGGGAGGGACTTCAGATACTATTCAAGGTTTTATGGTTGTTTGGACAACTGGTTGACTGAAAAATGAGTCTAGTTGAAGATCTACACATCAAAACTTCTAACACAAAGCAACATACAAATATTACATTCCAAAATGCAATTATCAAAGTAGATAGTTCTTTGGAGAACAATAAATAGTAATCACCATGGGTTTTGAATATTAGAAAAGCATCATGAAAAGGAAGACCCTGAGTTAACCTTGAAGGCTATATAATATTTGAATAGGACTTGGAGGCGAAGTTTAGTGGTAGATGTGCAAAGGGTCTTGGTCCAATCCCTTGCATTAAAAAAAAAAAAAAAATCAGAGAGCTACAGGAATGCAAAAGGTAAATTACAGAGAGGTACAATACACTAGTGTGGCTGGTAAAGAAGCACTGATAAGAGCCAGACTCAGACTCAAAAATATAGGAAATAAGACCAGAAAGACAGATTTTTTTTTTTCTTTTCGGTTTTTTGAGATAGGGTCTTACTATGTAATTGAGACTAACCTGGATCTCACTATATAGCCCAGGCAGGTCTTAAACTCACAGCGATCCTCCTGCCTCAGCCTCCCGAGTGCTGGGATTATGCCCGGCCAGAAAGACAGATTTAACGTTAAGGACTAAAAACCTTAGAGTTTATCCTATATTCAAAAGGAAAATAAAACATTTTAAAAAATAAAACTAAGATAAACACTATTTTTAAATATTTGAAAATTTGATTACAATTTCAAACACAGAATTACATAACAGATTCCCCCATGAATCTTAAAATTTTAAGTGAAGACATGTGTATAAGACTGCCAAAAGAATTACAGGGCAGGATCAAAAAATATGGTGAACATTACTTTTTTTTTTTGTCATTTGTTTGTTTTTACTTTACAGTAAGACACAATGTCCTTAATCCTCACTTCAAACATACTTCCCTTCATTCCTGCCACTTCTTGAAGTAGTTCTGAAAAAGACTTCGGTGAGCATCTTCATGAGGTGCCAAATGCCACTAAAGGCATGCTCATAAAAACGTTACACTGTACCTTATCCACCTTATTTAATGGATCTGGCACCATGCAACTTCTGCTTCTTCCCCCAAATCAAAATGACCATGATAAGTAAATGTTTCGAATCCATTATGGATATCAAGGTAGTCAGAAGAGTGCAACTGAAAGACACCAAAAAGGACTTACACAACTGCTTCAGAAAGTGGCAAGAATGATGGTATATATGTGTTTGAAGTGAGGAGGCATAATTAATGGGGGATTAATGGCAATGTGCCTTTTACCTTAATACATTTTTTAAAATTAAATGCTCACTATATTTTTTATTGTGTCTGGCATGTAGAAAAGAAAAACACAGCAGACCTGAGACTGGTACCCTTCAAAAAGCCTGCCAAAGTTTGGCCCTTGGCTGGTATCTGGAAAGGGGAATAATGAACAGTTCCCTACACTAACAGAAAACCTCTACTCCACGGTAAGAGTGGATCACTGTGCCTGGACTGTACAATACACTTTATGCTGAACATCAGCTTTCCTTCTGGGTGTCTGGTATTTTGGAATATGTTTTAACAAAAAGTGCTCCGGTCACCAGCCCCAAATAAAAAGCTTGAGCACAGAGTCTTCCTGCTAGACAACTTCTCCACATATGTTGGCATAATTTGAAACTGGAGTAATCACAGACATCTTTTTAAAAAGAACTCTTAAATTACTGCCAATTATAGACGGAAAGAAAACGAAATAGCAGCAGGGACAAGACAATCAGTTGCTTCATGCATCCAGCTTCACAAATCTGACAGAGGACTTCATGCATATATTGCACTTTACATGCATACTTGAAAGCCTGCCTGCCCAAATACTAAAGGAAACTTATTTTAGAACTATCATTAAAATCTATCCTTTTAGGGCTGGGGATTTAGCTCAGTGTTTCCACCACCTGCCTCACAAGCGCAAGGACCCGAGTCCAATCCCTAGTACCAAAAAAAGAGAAAAGAAAATCTATCTTTTTAAAATGAAAAAACAGAAACAAAGTCTTTGTAAATAGGGAAGGATGAAGGGGGTAAAGGGAAGGCAGGAGTATGGGGAAAAAACAAGAACAAAGACCTGTCATGTAAAGGTACAAGATCATGAAGATAAATGTAACTGCATTATTTGCTCTAAATGTATCAATAAACTTAATGGAAAAAAAACACTTTATTTTCCTCAAAACAAAGTAAGTCATTTTCTAGATTTTAGAACAGGAAAAGCTAGGCAAGGATTTTTAAATAACATTAATGTTTTAAACTAATTAAATTAGTTTTCAAATTTAGAGTTTTGGGGCGTTTTTTATTTGGTGTTGATAGTGGTGCTGGGATCTGAATCCAAAGCCCTTGTACTAAATGAGCTACATCCCCAACACTTTTTTATTTCGTGACAGGATCTTGCTGAGTCACTAAGATACCCAGGCTCAAACGATTCTCCTGTCTTAGCCTCTCAAATGCTAAGACTACAGGTATACACTACCACACTCAGCTTAGAGTAAGATAATTTCAAAAAATATTTTAAATTCATGGAGTTTTTGTTGCTGTTTTGTTTCACTTTTCCTGTTCAGTGCTGGAGATGAAATGTATGTTAGGCAAATGCTCTTACCCCTGAGCTGTACCTCTAGCACTAAATCTGTTGTTTTTAAAACTGAAAACTGCCAGGCATGGTGGCACATGCCTGTAATCCCAGCACTTGGGAGGCAGGGGCAGGAAGATCACCACAAATTTGAGAACATACATAATGAGTTCAAGGCCAGCCTGAACTAGACAGTGAGATCCTGTCTCATAAATAAATAAATAATTTGTATTGTCTAACGCCTACATATTTATTATTTTAAATTGACGTGATCCTTCAAGATTAAAGAAAGGTGATTTTTCTGTGGAAAAGCTAAAAAAGGCTGGGATGTAGCTCAGTGGCACAGTGCTTGCCTAGCCCGCACAGGACCCTAGTTTCAATCCCTAATACCACAGAAAAAAAGGAAAAGCTAAAAAGCTCAGGAGAGTTAGCAAAAACATAGATAATACTATGTGCACCTCTTCTTCTGGCAACATCTTTCTCCGACCATCCTTCACTGGAAATCCACTTCCAAAGTCTTTTGAGGAAATATCAGCTCCATACTCCACAATAACATCTTCTTCAATGCTGCTAACCAGCCGCCAGAATTCCTTTTCTACTAGTTCTGTGGGAACCATCTACATAGGGAAAAAGATGACAGGTTATTAATCCACTATAACTACAATCTACTATAACATAATACACAGGCCAAGTAAACACAAATTTATGATGAAATTAAAAAGCCTAATTTTCCACAGCAAAAATGACTGACATCCTAGTTTTTTTCACTAAGAATGGGGGAAAGCTAAAAGTATTTTGAATATGGATATTCAGAAAAACATAATGAACTTGAACTGCTTTGTTCTGAAAGCAGCTGTTTCTCAACTACGAAGGACAAAGATGAACCAGAACATCAAGAAGGACTAAGGAAATGAAAAAAGCAAGGCCAAATTTTAATAGCTTTACCAATTTTTTTTTAGTACTACATTGCTAGGAACTTAAAAAGCCTAGATCCCCTAGGGAAAACAAAGCAAACTACATAGTACGATTGACTACACAAAACCAGTGATAACCAAATAAATACTTCATGCTTCTCTATAAAGGAATACTCACAGAGGGATAATAAAACAATTTAAGCATCAATACAGATTTCTCCATAGGATAGTACAAACTCCCCATTAAGAGAGTAAAATAAACAAATAGCCAGGTGTGGTGGTGCAGGCCTGTAATCCCAGAACTCAAGAGGCTGAGACAGGAAGATCAGGAATATTGCTCTGAGTTCTAGGCCAGCCTGAGCTACACAGAGTTCAAGACCCACTTGAACTACATAGTGAAACCCTGTCCCAATGAATAAATGAATGAAATGAAACAAATAGATGCTAGACCTTTAATTTTAAGACTCAATATTCTCTCATCCTTTTCATGCCATCCCTATTTTCTACAAAGTATTAAAAATAAAAAAGCAAACCAAAACCTTTAGACTTAGAAAAATCTTTGTGCCTCTCCCAAATGGCTTAAAAGATAGTTACTCACATGGACTGGCATATTGAAATAATCAGACTTAAAATTATCCGCCATCTCTCCAAAGCTCTGAAGTGTATATTCTCGTATGGCTTGTTCAAATCCAAAGGCTTCTCGAGGTTTGTTACATTCCTGGAAAGGAAAAAATCAACTAAGATTAACTCAATTAAACTGTAATTTAAAAAGCACTTAAAGATATAGGTGTGGTGGTACATGCCTGTAAACCCAGCAATCTGGGAGGGAGAAGCAAGATCTCTGGTTCAAAACCATATGGACAATTCATCAACATCATGTCTCAAAATGGGGGAAAGGGAAGGAGGAAAAAGAAGAAGGGAGCAAAAGAAGAGAGAAGAAAGGGAAAGGGGAAGGACAAAAGAGGGGAGGAAGGAGGATGGGAGGGAGGAAAAGAAGACGGGAAGAAAAAAGAGGGAGGGGTAGGAAGAGGGGAGAAGGGAAAAAGAAGGAAGAGAGGGGAGGGGGGAGGAGAGATGTGGAAAAGGAAAGGGAGGGAGGGGAAGAAGGGGAAAGCAAAGGTAGGAGAGGAAGGGACTAAGCTCTAAGGTAGTACTTTGATTAGCTCCTTAACTGAAGCAAACTAACCAACCCTAGACACAATAAAACAAGTATTACTTGGGCCGGGTATTTAGCTCAATGGTTCCGCCACCTGTCTCAAAAGCACAAGGTCCCGAGTTTGATCGACAGTACCAAAAAACAAAACAAAACAAGTATTACTATAGTCCACTGCAAAATAATGTAAGGAAATAGTACTCCAGAACCTGAACTTTTGTTCTTAGTCTTGCAGTAGGAAGGTAGTAATGAAATAGCTTTAAACTGCAGTTGGCATTATGCTCGGCCACCAAGACATTTTTTAAATTTTAAAGACATTTTAAAGATGACATTTGTCATTTTTAGCATCCATTAGATCTGGTCATAGAGAAAATAAATATTTATGGAGAAAAAAAAGGTTGTGGATATAGGCTACCCACTGCATTGCTAAGATTATCTGGCTAGGAAAATGGTTTGCTCACACGGCCACTATAATTGCCATGACCAACACCCAGCTAACTCCTTTGCTTCAATGCCCTATCATAAGGTTTTGTTTTTTTTTGTTTTTGGTACCAAGGATTGAACTTGGGACCTTGTGCTTGCGAGGCAGGTGGCAGAACCACTGAGCTAAATCCCCAACCCTATTAATGACATTTTATTAAAATAAGTAAATATACTAGGCTTTCATAACATCAGTATTTTTAAATAAGAAAAACAGTATAATCAAGTCAAAATGTGTACAAGGTAAAAGACACCATCAGTTTATTTAATAGCACAAAAATATGTATAAATCCCAAGTTCTAAAACTTTGTGTCCAATTATAGATTAATGTTTAAAAAGACCTACCAGTTTTCTTCAGTTTTATTCCAGCAATATGAATACTCTGACCAGAAATCTCATTCAACTGAAGCAATAAATAGAAGTGCCTCACCAAGAGTAAGAAAAAGAAATTTTGAAGGCAAGTAGCCCCAACATGGTTGTTACATTTCTATTCAGTACAGAACTTTTTTAAAACCATGAAAAATTTCAATTCTAAAGAACCTATTTATATGTATGTGTACATGCATGCATTACTTTTTTTAGTTAGAAAAGGATCCATAAAGTTTAGGCTTGTACCTCAGCAACACACTTAGGACACCTCCAGTCTCCCTTGGGAACATCAGGTAGTGGTGGAATTAGACAAAATGTATGATAGCTGTCATCACATCCATCACATAAAAGCAATTTATCTTCATTGTTTCCCCGACCACAAAACATACACACATAGAGATCAACCTGTTAAAATAAATAAATAATGAAAGTCTAGTTGCTATAAAAAAGAATATTAAATTTCCAGGACCGCTTTAATTAAAAGACAAAACAATGCACACTAAAACATTAATTTAAATCCTGAATATCTACTTTAATATTTTAACACTTTAATAGAATTTCCTAAATTTTTCTTCAGTTTCTACCAAGAAATCATAAAAACATATCGAATTGTTAAACACTACAAATCTAGAGTATGTAAAAATTAATCTGCATTTTAAAAAATGGTATTATTTCTAGATATAAGGACTTTTGTGTAAAGAATGAAAATAAAAAACTGCCTATAATACAACTCAATAATTTACAAGTATTCATGAGTATCTGCCAGGATTGGTTCAAAGATTTTTGCCCACCCATAACCACACCCACACCCAGCCCCCTGGGTACCAAAATCCACAAATGCTCAAGTAAGGATATACAATGGCATAATATTTGGTTATAAAAGTACATGCATGGCCTCCAATATATTTTACGCTATCTCTAGATTATTTATTATACTCAATACAATGTGAATGCTTGCTATGTAAATAGCTGTTATACTGTATTGCTCATGTCAAGAAAAAAGATCTGTACTTCTCAATACAGACACAGTTTTTTAAAAAATATTTCAATCTATACTTGGTTCAACCCACAGTTGTACAACCTAGGGATACAAAGGACGAACTGTATTCAGATTCACACATTCTCTCATTTAATCACCCAAAAGGTATATGAGCTAAGGGGAATAGACTATGTACATGAAACAAAGCAAGGTTAACATTACATAAACCAAAGGAGTAAGTTCAGATTTGCCATCAAATCTTCTAACCAAATAAGCCTATTAAACATACAAGTAAAAGTAAAAACCAAAATTAAAATAAATCCTTTCCCTCCTAACATATCCCAAAGCACTTACAAAGTTAACAGAGAGAGTTCCTTTCCGTTGTCTCATTTGCATGTTAAATGCGTCTGACCTGTTGGTAACTTTTCGTCTTCGGGTGACCTCATCTTGAAATAAAAAGTTATATAATAATAGTAAAAACTAATGTTGAGAGCTTACTATGGACCAGACACTATTTAAAATTATTTAAATTAGTTAAAAAACTCACAACACTATGAGGTAGATATATTATTATCTGTGGTTGAAGATAAAGAACCTAAGTTATAGAGAAGTTAGATAACTTGCTCAAAATCACATAGCCAGTCAGTGGCAGATTTGGGATTCTAATCTAGGTAATTAAGCTTCAGAGAGTTTAACCACTGATGCCATATGGTCTGTATGCAGTACTACTACATAGTGCCTGTACATATGATTTACAGGGACTCTCAAATTAATCAGGGATTAATTTTTTAAGATCACTGCCAGCCAATGCCAAAATTTCAGGAATGACAAAGTACTTAATTCTTTAAAAGGTAATCAAAAACATTTAATGTATTTAGTAAATCCTATTAAACATAATGGTCTGAGAGTGATGGAACAATATTATCTGATCTTCTATATAGTTCAGTCCATGATCTGAATTACGATTAAACTATTCATATCATAAAATGCATAAGTAATATATATGACTACAGCATTTTATTAAATTCTTATAGTATAGTCAAAACATGTCAAACCTAATGAGTGCTTTTGTGTGGGTCTTCCATTGTTTTGTTTTGCTTTGTTTTGCACTAATACTAGGGATGGAACCCAGGGCCTCACTATACGCTAGGCAAGCATTCTACCAAAGAGCTACATCCCACCCTAAAATGACTTTTAAAATTGACTTGTTATGTAGGGAGAATAAAACCTGATTTTTGTATTAGCAATTCTAATCACAAAAATTCCAAACATGCAAAGCTGAAGAGGACTAGGCTCTTTGAAGAAAAAGTGTATGTGAAGGGTTATTAATACTGGGCATGGTGGTGCATGCCTGTAATCCCAGCACTCAACTCAGGAGGCTGAAGCAGGAAAATTGCTATGAGTTTGAGGCCAGCCTGAACTCACAGCAAGACCCTGTCCCAAAACAAATTTAAAAAATAAAAATAAATAAAAGGTATCATAATGTATCAAGGGCAATTATAAAAAAATAAGTTTATGGTTAGAATTTAAATGTTCTAAGATCTTCCCAGTATATTTTCATAATAAAAGTTAAAGAATCTTCTATTTACCTTTTAATTTAAAAGTTTTAGGTATTTGATCACTAGATGAAAACCAATAATTTCACCATTACTGGTGAAACTAAACTAACCTTTATAAACTACAATCAATTTCTGTGTTGTATATCAGACATGGAGAAGGAAAATTCTCTCTTCTAAATCTTAAAAATTGAATATAATATTGCTCCTCACACCTTAAAATATCTGCCATCAAAAGACAATTTGCATAAAACCGTTTTGCAAGTCTACAAAGAAATTCCCAGCACAAATTCAAATTCAAGTATCACTTAATCTTTCCACAACTATATTATTTCACTTCATTTCTCTTCATAACCAATAATAGATTTTACCTTCTTTATCTTTTGTTCCAACTGCCAGGCCCACAACCTTGGGTCCAGCCCCAAAAATCTGAAGTTTCTTCAGCTCTGTGTTTTTGTTCATTTCTCCAGATTCTGACTAAAAGATAACAAACAAAATCCACATTAGCATAATTATCTTGATTCATATATTAATTTTCTTTGAGAAAAAGTCTTACTATGCTGCCCAGGCTGACCTCAAATTCCTGGGTCCAAGTAATCTTGCTGTATTTATCTTCCAAGTAGCTGGAATAGAGACATATACTAACATACACAGCTCATGTATTATTTTACCACCTAAAACGTTTCAAGATCCTCTTTAAAATGAAGAAAGAGTACTTCTCTTTCAATCTACTCACTGCTTCATTTGCAACAGTTTAAAAGTTATCAAAGCACCACCCAATACCCACATTCTTTTCCACAGAATATTTATCTTAAAAGCACAGTTGTCAATTTGGCTCTGGCTAGACAGACACAGGTTATTAGGCAACAGAAATTCCCACTTCTAACTTGCTAATGAGTACCTGTCTTTGATTAGAGGGTAATATACCTATCTTTGAGATGAATCACGCCTGTCCTAAGAAATAATGCTGGTCTCTTTTTTCTTTGCAGATGATGATCTAGCTAGGAATAGGAATGTGACCCTGACCCAATCATTCATAAAGTTTACGGGAAGCCTTTGGGAAAACTTTTTAATCTTCTAATAAAAAGGAAAGCTTCACAAAGAATAAGTTCTTTTGACTCACCTCCCTTCTTTTTTGCTAGAAAACTCAGTGCTGGATTCTGTAATAGCCCCACTACAATTCGGAGAGAACTTACTCACACACTAAAGAAAGCAAGCCCACTAGGTATGGTGGTGCATACCTGTAATCCCTGCATACTTGGAGGCTGAGGCAAAAGAAATGCAAGGCTGAGCCTAGCCTGGGCAATTTAGCCACTTAGTGAGACCCTGTCTCCAAATTTTAAAAAAATCACTGGGATGTAGTTAAGTATGAAGGTGCTGGGTTGCTTCCCCAGTACCACCCCCCAAAGAAAAAGGACAGAAAGATGAGAAAAGAGCCTGGATCCTTCATGACAACATGGACATGCAATACCAATCTGAGAACTACCTTCTTCTAAAAAAACTTATTTTTAGACAGGGTCTCACTACATAGTGAGTTCAAGGCTGGCCTTGAACTATGTAGCCTACACTGCCCTCAAATTCACATCAATCCTCCTGCCTCAGCTTCCCAAGTGCTAAGATTACAGGTGTACACCATCACACCCAGCTAAAATTCTTATGTTGAAAATGTGTTATGTGAATAATTTACCACTAAGGTTTAAACTACTGTCACCTGGCATTCTATCCCTTGAAGGTGAGAGCATCCTAACAAGTATCAGTGTTAAATCTTTAATTCAGATGAATCATAATCTTTAAATGCAGACAAATTAAGTAACTAAAGTTTATTTTAAATGTACAAATAAGAATAAAAATAAGGGTCGGGATGTTGCTAGCAGTGCCACACCTGCCTGGCAACCACAAGGTCCTAAGTTCAACTCCCAATACCAAGGGAAAATAAACAAACCAGGGTCCAGTAAAGATTATTTTATATATACAGTAGGTTCACATAACAAATTCATACAATCCTGACTAATAAAAAGCCACACACACAAAAAAAGTTGTAAATCCCAGCACATGGGAAGCTGAGGCAGGAGTTCGAGACCAGCCTGGGCTACATGATGGATTCCAGGTCAGTCTCAACTACATAGTGAGACCCTGTCCCAAAAAACCAAAAAGAAAGAAAAAAATCACAGTGGCATTCCAAAATTTGCCTCTAAATTCTTGTAGACAGACTTGGTTATACTAAGCAGCCTCTACAGTTAATAAAATAACACAATACTATGTATTCTCTATTATTATTATAGCAGAGTAGATAACAAAAGCAAAAACATTAAGGTATAAAGCATTGTTATATCTAAGTATTTTAATCAATTAAATCTTAAAATTATTTTAGCAGGTGGAAATGTTCTAAAAAGAAAACAATACTCTGACCTTAATGGAATAAAAGTTGAAATAAAATTAAAGTTCCTGCCAGGGATTTAGCTCAGTGGTTCTGCCACCTGCCTCACAAGCGCAAGGACTCGAGTTCTCTCCCTGGTACCAAAAAAAGGTAAGTAAGTAAATAAATAAATAAATAAAATTCCAAAATGCCTTTTCATCTGAAAATTTTCTCTTTTTTTGGTACTGGGGATCAAACTTGGGCCCTTGAGCTTGTGAGGCAGGCAGCAGAACCATTCATCTGGAAATTTTTAAACTCTCCATTAGCAGGTAATAACACTAAGAAAACTATCAGATCACTGAAACAAATTAAAGCAGTGATTACAGGGAACTTTATAGTCATAAGCACATCAATAAAAACAAAATAATAGAAATACATTAAATTTCCAACTCAAAATACCAGAAAAAGAACTAAAACGTAAACTTTGTGGTGCTGGATTAGAAGAGGAATAATGAAAAAAAAGTGGAATAATCTCTAGGAACATAAAATATGAAGTCAGTTAAAAGTTTATTTCCTAACCCTGGCCATTTATAGACCTAGAAACAATGATATTCTAGTAGGAACAAACACACCTTGAGCTCAGGTCATTATTTCTAAATAGCATTTCCCACTAAAATGAACCAGAAATCCTGAAGAAATTACTTATCCCAGGTTTAATTAAGGGGAAACAAAAATATCAGCCTTTTGGTGACAGAAAATAAATACCCAACACTAACAGAAATATGTTAACTCTAGCATACATGAACCAGCTTGAAGTGGCTCCCATTAATCAAATTTGTTAACAACTAAATATAAAAAATAAAAGGCAGTAATAGATTATACAATATTGCATTTTTAAAAATCATGATCTACAGTGATACTCCAAAAGGGGGGGTTACAGTTTCAGAGGAATATACATTCATCAAACTCCACACTTAGGAAATGTGCATTTTAATCAGATGCAGTAGCACATGCCTATAACATCAGCTACTCGGGAAGCTGAAATAGGAAGATCACTTAAACCCAGGAATTCAGGGCCAGCCCGGGCAACAGAGAGACTCCATCAAAAAGTGGTGGTAGGGGGAGGGGATAATATTCTTTTGAAAAAGTGTGAGAAGAGAAAACTTCATTAGGGAAAAACATTAACTAAATAAATGTAGAAGGAAAGACAAAACTAGAAAATTACCCAGTTTGTCAACACCCATGCAAGAACTAATTCAGTCAAAGATCATCAATTAATTTTAAAATAGGTCATTCACAATGTTTCAGAGTTTACTCTGATTAATTTTATTACAAAATGACACTAAGTACAATATAGAAATCTGGCTCCAATTCAGTTATCACCAGTGGTGAGATATAGTGGCTTTATAAGTTTCATTCTAATACACAAATATATGACAGTTTGGGATCTCTTGACATGAAAAAAATACAATCTTTTTGCGGGGGACGGTACCAGGGATTGAATTCATCCACCAAGGAATACACACACACTTCAGACAAAAAAGATATGGGTGTTCTGAGTATACACAATAGTTGAAATCACAGGGTAGATAAGATAGCTAAGAGTGAAAATAGAAAAACCATGAATGTACAAAGAAAAGTCAACAGAGATGACTTAAGGAATGCTCAGAGCATAGAGATGAGGCCAAAGAAAATCTAAATTTCAGACAGGAGTCATCAGTCATATTAAATATATCCATTAAAGATACAAAATGAAAAGAGGACCTCAGAATTTAGCAACTTAAACTCAATGATAGTTTGGATAGTGCACTTTGAATGAAAGTATCTAGCGCAGTCAGATTAGAATATAAACATTAAATAGATGGTTAGAAAACTGAAACAAAACTGACTACTTATGGAAGTTTGTGAAAAGAGGCAAACAGTAAGACATTATTCAGGAAATAATTTTTATTTTTAAGATGATAGAGACTTGAAAACATGTATTTGGTGGGGAACAGATACCTAGCAGCAGAGGAAATACAAAAGAAAGATTTCCCAACTGAAATACTGAAATCAGTCACTAAAGATGACAAAAGTGACACACGCCTATAATCCCAGCTAACAGGGAGGCTGAAGCAAGAGACATAAATTCAAGGCCAGTCTAAGAAAAGATCCTATCTCAAAATAAAACATAAAAAAGACTGGGGATCACCAGGCATGGTGGCACACACCTGTAATACCAGCACTTAGGAGGTTGAGACGGGGGAACAGTTGGGAATTCCAGACTATCCTCGGCTATGCAGTGAATTTAAGGACAGTTCTGAACTACACAGCAGAATCTGTCTCAAAAAAAAAAAGAAAAAGGGCCGGGAGTTTAGCTCAGTGGTGCCACCACCTGCCTCATGAGCGCAAGAACCTGAGTTTAATCACTGGTACCAAAAAGAAAATACTGGGGATGTAGTTCAGTATTAGAATGCCCCTGGTTTCTATTCTCAGTACTGCCAAAAAAAAAAAAAAAAAAAAAAAAAAAAAAAAGTAAAAGAGAAGATGGTAGACAGTAGCCTTGGAAAAAGTACACTTTGCCTACAGAGATAAACAGAGACTATGGATTGAGTATCAATCAGTAGTTTTGAAACATGTTACTTTCTCAAACAGAAGATTAAGAATAGAGGCAGACTGGCAATATAGTAATTAAATAAAATTCTAAGTAAAAAAAAAAAATCTTAACTTCAAAATTTTAGATGCCTCTAGTTTCTTTCTACCTAACTGCAAACAACCTAACTGCAATGACATTTATTATAAAAGGTAAAAGAATTCTATGTGGTCTCTATTTTTATAAATAGAAAAAGAAAATCAAGGCTGGAGTGTAGTTCAGCAAAAGGGGCCTTGTCTGTCACGCACATGTCCCTGGGTTTGATGCCAGTACCACAAAAACAGATACACACACACACACACATACATTCAAAAGGCAAATGGACTGCCTCCCAAGCTCAAGGAGCCGAGTTCAATCCCTGGTACCAAATTAAAAAAAAGAAAAAAGAAAAAGAAAAAAAGCTGGGCCCAATTGTCAGTAACAAAAATTTTAAAGAGGGGGCCCAGCAGTGTCCCAAAAGGCAAATGGAAGATGCTATGGTTTCTATCTAGACGTCCCCCCAAAGCCTCATGTGCTCATAAGTGGGGCTTTTGGGAGGTGAGTGACTGGATCATTAGTGGATTAGTCCATTTATCAGTTTAAAACTAAATGTTTTAGAAGGCAAAGTCTGGTTGGAGGAAGTAGGTCACTGGGGACATGGACTGGAAGACTGTATCTCCCTCTCTCCTCTTGATCTCACTGTCTGCTTCCTGCCTGCCTTCCCATGAACAATTCTTCTCTGCCATGCTGTCCTACCTTGGAGCCAACTATGGACTCAAACTCCTACCAATCCTAAGCCAAAATAAACTTTTCCTCATTTAAGTTGCAGTTATCAAGTACTGTTTCTCAGCAATGAGAAAGCAACTAAGATAGAAGATATGTCTCCTCGAATATTAAAGAACAGCAGTGTATATGTGGCCTTCCATGACCAGAAAACTGTTCTAAACAATCACTGTACTTAAAACTCCTATTAAAATAGTCCATGGCATTGATACCTGAGACTTGACTCGTCTTGTTCTCTTAGGCAGAATGTTCATCCGGGTGCCCGGCTCTGGGGAAGTCTGGATATCAGCACTGAGGATCTCAGGTTCCACTTTTTCCTTAAGATCTAAATTAGGCATTTGTACACCCTAAAAGATCAGAGCACAGGAAGAGAACAGATTCGCTGACAAAAAATATGTTTAAACATCAGTGAAGTAATAAATTTCTAGTAAATCCCTAAAGTTACATGAAACCAGGTGGCAACTTTCTCTCAGATTGATCTTAGACTTAAGATAATCCCTATCAAATCCTCAACATCCAATTTTTTGTGTGTAAAAACTGCAAGCTGATTCTAACATTTATGTGGAAACAAACTGTGTCAAAATTTTGAAAGAAATAATAAAGAGGACTTATATTAATGAACATCAAATTTTACTATAAAGCTACAACACACAATGGTATTAGCATTACAGTAGACATTTATAGTAGCCCCCTCTTACCCATATACTTACATTCTTATGTCTCTAGTGGATGCCTGAAATTACTGACATTACCAAATCCTATTTATATTGTTTTTTCTATAAATGTGCACCTATGATAATGTTTACTTTATAAATCAGGTACAGTAAGAGATTAGCAGTAATAATAATAAAATAGAAAAATTATAACAAGATAATAAAATTAATGTTAAATGTTGTCAGTCCAACTCAAAATACCTTATCATATTTTCATCTTTTCACCAGAGGAACCACTTTACAGCTTCTCTTTGGCACATGAAATCTCAGCAACACTACTCTTGTACTTTAAGGCCATTATCAAGTAAAATTAAGAGGGTACCTGAACATTAAGCGTTGTGCAACTGCAGAGGAGATCTAATAATTAAGATGGCTACTAAGTAACTAAAGGGCAGAGACAAACAAATTATTCATATCCAGCAAAGGAGGGTACAAAATTTTACCATCTTAACCAGAATGGCATGAAATTTGGAATTTCTTGAATTTTCCATTCAATATTTTCAGACCATGGTTAACCAGGGTAACTGAAACCACAGGTGAGGAGAGGATTATTATAGATCAATGCAACAATAAACTCACAGATTTATAGTTAAGATGATTTTCAAGAAAGGTACCAAGGTAACTCAATGGGGGGAAAAAAGCCTTTTAAAAGAAAAGGACCAGGGCAGGGATTTAGCTCAGTGTTGCTTCCACCTGTCTGGCAAGCTCAAGGTCCTAAGTTTGCTCCCTGGTACCGGAGGGGGAAAAGAAAAGAAATGGTGTCAGGCTTTATGGCACACACTTGTAATCCCAGCACTCAGTAGGCTGAGGATAGAGGATCACTGTGAGTTCAAGGCAAGCCTGGGCTACATAGTGAGTTAAAGGCCAGTCTGAACTACATAGCGAGACACTATTTCAAAAAAGCAAACAAAAAAATGAAATAGTAATAATAGTAACTAAATAAAAGAAATGATGCTGGTACAAATGACTATTCCTATGTCCCCCAAATGAATTTATCTTTATCTCAGTCTATATATGCAAAAAAATAATATAAAATGCATTACCGAACTAAATATAAAAGTTAAAATTACAAAACTTCTGCTGGGCATGGTGGCGCATGCCTGTAATCCCAGCACTCGGGAGGCTAAGCAGGTGGATCACTGTGAGTTCAAGACCAGCCAGGGGCTACATAGTGAGTTCCCGGTCAGTCTCAACTACATAGTGAGACCCTGTCTCAAACAAACAAACAAACAACAACAACAAAAAATTACAAAACTTCTAAGTAAAAACAAAGAAGAAAAATCTTTGTGACTGTGTTAGGAAGTTTTTTGTTTTATAAACCAAATCTTATTGTACAATTCCTTCTATGTGAAATTTCTCACAAAGATAGAGCCAGAAAACACACGAGTAGATAATGCCTACATCTGTAGGTAGAACAGAAACTACCAGTGAATACTAAATAATTTTTCAGGGACAGTATTCTAAAACTGGATTGTGAAAAGCAAATCAATCAATCAATCAATCTATCTGGATTGTGATGACTACTGCATAGATGCATAAATTCATTAAAACTTAAAACTTTGGGCTGGGCGTGGTGGCACACACCTGTAATCCCAGCACTCGGGAGGCTGAGGCAGGAGGATCGCTGTGAATTTGAGACCAGCCGGGCTAAATAACGAGTTCCAGGTCAGGTCAGTCTCAACTACACAGTGAGACCCTGTCTCAAAAAAAAAACAAAAACAAAACTAAAAACTTTGTACCTACCATGGCTAAGTCTAAAGTACATAAATAACATGTCAATAAAGCTGTTAAATTCTCTGGTGTGAAAAACTAAAAGTGTAAATAAGATCCAAATTGTATAACTGACAATGTGAAACAGGAAGAAAGGGGATAAAGGTGTAGGGGAATTGGGAAGGGTAGGGGAAAGGAAATAAGGGAAAAGAAAAAAATATGAGAAAAGGGAAAAATGGAAACAAAATCTTTGCAAATAGGGGAGGGGGAGGGGTGAAGGGAGGGTAGGGGCATGGGGAAAAAAATGAGAACCAAGACCTGTCATGAAAAGCTACAAGATCCCAATGATGAATGTAACTGTACTGTGTACTTAAAAAGTAGCAATAAACTCAATGAGAAAAAAAAGCTTTTAAAAACAAACAGATAATCACTTCTCAACCTTTTGGCTAAGATCAAGTATAAAAACAAATAGCTGAAACAAATACAAATTTTTCAAAAAGCTGAATCATGACAATATATTTTAAGTAAAATATTCTCCTACCTACTATCCTTTATCTTGTAAACCACCAAAAATAGTCATGATTTTTAAACTAAAATATACACCTTGCTTTCCCACATTTCAGTTCCCAGAAAAATTGATTCCATCTCCCTATACATAAATAATTACCAATTTGTGGTAAACAGTTTATAGTTGGAAAATAGGATGTATCAACCCTAAAACCAATGATGCTTCTTACCATAAGGCTGACACCAGACTGGAAAAGTTCATATGGGTAGAGAATTCTTTCATAGTGGGACTTCAGAAGAGACCCAGTTCCTTTTCCTGGCAGATATCCCAAGCGGCTACCCACTTTAGACCATTTCTTCTCTTTGGTGACCATTTCAAAACCTCCTTTGCTAGCAACAATCTGAAAAGAAAGTTTATGTTACTTAAGGAAAGACTCAAATATCTTAATTCTATATCCTGTTTGCTAAATACAAAAATTATTCTAGGTTTAGATTTCAAATTTTGTTTCAACAAATATGTGACCAACCTGACAACTGTCAACATTTAAAGTAATAGAGACAATGATTTTCCTGGAAGTCTTAAACTCTACATGTTAATAAATGTTATACCTACCTTTAAACAAGGTATTAAAAAATACTTTATAAATTTATTCCTTGTACATTATGCACTATGAGAAAACTAAAGATACATATACATTCTATAGCATCAAGGAACTAATAACTTGAAATAAGAATAAAAAACAGACACGAGAACACAAGTTATATAAAAGTTAAATTAGAAAATATACTGAGAAATTTACAGAATTTAACAAAAATGTCAAGCAAACTATGGATTCAGACAACAATTCTGAAAAACTTTGAGGATAAGAGGGCTGGACTGTAGTTCGGCAATAGAGCAAAGCCCCGGTTCAAGCTCCAGCATTATAAAAAAAGGGGGGAAAAAGAAAAGAAAAAGTTTTATATGGAAGACTATCAAGGAATGACCAGGAAAGATGAAACTGCAATAGACTTACTGGCACATAGCACAAGATACAGAAGATGTAGTAAGGAAGGAGGTGATCAGATACATTGGCCTATGTGGCTGAATGCTCACACCAAACCAGGCACTATAGAAAATACATAGGTATCAAAGCCCCCATCTTCCTACAACTGAAAATGTACATCCTGCCCAAAAATATAGACAGTTTACAGCTTCATTGTGAAGACAGCTAAGAGGACTATGACTCAGTATTTCAAATCAAACGTTTCCCTTATGTGAATAAACACTACTATTTTACTATATGGAAAAATTGAAAAATTTAAAGCAGAACTACCATATGGTCCTGAATTTCACTTCTGTATGTATACCTACAATTACTGAAACTAGAGACCCAAACAGCATCAATCACAAGAATCAAATAATGGAAACAACTCAAATATCCACCAACAGATAAATGAACAAAATGATACATACAAAAATTAGAATATTGTTCAGCTTTCAAAAGACACTCCAATACATCCTATAACATGATGGAACTTGAAAATATGTAATTGAAAGAAAAAAACAAAACAATGAATGCTGTATAATTATATGTATATAATGTACCTAAAATAAGTAAACTCATAGAAACAAAGTATAATAGATGTCACTAGGGGTGGGAGTAGGGGAGTTCTGGAAATGGGCAGTTATAATGATTATACTACAGTGAATGAACTTATTGCCACTGAACCATATAGCTGAAAATGGTTAAAACTGCCAGGCATAGGGCTGGGGATTTAGCTCAGCGGTTCGGTGGCCTGCCTTGCAAGCGCAAGGACCTGAGTTCAATCCCCGGTACCAAAAAAAAAAACCAAACTGCCAGACATGGTAGGGCATGCTTATAATCCCAGCATTCAGGAGGCTGAGGGAGGAGGATTGCTGTGAGTTCAAGGCCAGCCTGAACTAAGTGAGATCCTGTTTCAAAAACTAAAAAAAAAAGAGCCTGGGATTTAGCTCAGTGGCACTGCATGAGCCTTGCAAACTCAAGGTCCCAAGTTTAATCCCCAGTTCAAAAAACAAAAAATTAAAATGCAGCTGAGGATATAGCACAGTAACAGAACACTTGCCTTGCATGTACAGGCCCTAGGTTCCAACCCTAGCACCTAATAAAACCAATGGTTAAAATCCTAAATTTTTCTATATTTTATTATAACTTTTAAAAAAATGACTAAGAGACCCAGTCATGGTTGTACACAATATAATCCTAGCTGCTCACTAAGCTGAGGCAAGAGGATCACAAATTTAAGGCCAGCCTAGGCAACTTAGAAACAGTCTGTCTCAAAAAATAAATAAATAAATAAAATCGGCCAAGGATGTACCTGAGTAATTGATAACGGAAGGAAGGAAGGAAGGAAGGAAGGAAGGAAGGAAGGAAGGAAGGAAGGAAGAGCTGGGCACAGTGACAAGCACCTGCAGTTGCAGTTTCAGTACTCAGGAGGCTGAGGCAGGAGGATCACTCATTTCAGAAGTCCCAGAGCTGCCTGGGCAACACAGCTAGAAATTGCCTTTAAAAAAAAATTAAGAGAATGAACTCTGGAGCCATACTGTCAATGTTCAAATTGCAACTCTATCATTTAATAGCTGTGTGATCCTGGTTAAGTTATATAATATGTGATTTAGTTTCCACTATTTCTCCCATTAAAATACTAGTAACTATTAACCATACCTACTTCATTATGAGCCAGTCCTGAGGACATATAAAACATGAAAAGCACCAGGACAAAGTGAACACTATATTGATGTCCACTACAACATAAATGTCCATGGTTAGCAAGGGTATCCACACTAAAATAAGTTAAGAAAATGTTTTCAACTCTTATACTTTGAATGCTATTACAAAGATGAATCCCATGGCCAAAGCACAATTTTCCTCTAGTGGAGTATCTAAAAGTTTGGTATAATCATATAAATTCATATACACAAGAGCTGAACATCTCTAATTCTTCAGCACCTCCTGTTATACCTTCAGAGAAATGATCTCTGTTGATAAGAGCTAACCAGGAGGAAATTATAAAGAGAAAAAAATTATTTTTCCAATTCTGTATTATAGAGAAGACACAATGAAAATGATTTAGATAAAGGGCAATCTAGAGCCAGGCATGGGGCTGGGATTTCAGTGGTTCTGCCTCCTGCCTTGTAAGCACAAAGACCCAAGTTCAATCCCTGGTACCAAAAAAAAAAGAAATCCAGGCATGGTGGCACACACCTGTAATTCCAGCACTCAGGAGGCTGAGGCAGGAGGATCACTGTGAGTTAAGAGTCCAGTCTAGCTAAATCACAACAGTCTGTCTCAAATAAATAAATAAATAAACAAACAAATAAAGGGTTCCTCAAAAGCAACTGGTTGAATCAGAATACCATTATATATATCTTTTCAGTGCTTCCAAAGTGCCAGCTAGTTCTCTAAATGCTTGGGATACATCCATGAATAAAGAACTTTTCTCTCATGGAGCTTATGTTCTATTGGAGGAAGAGAGATATAAACCCAACAAATACATGAATTAGGTGATAAGGACTGTTATGATCACATCTGGATGTCCCTCCCAACCAAAGCCTCATGTGCTTAGCAGGCAGAGCTTTTGAACAGTGACTGGATTATAGGGGGATTATAGCTGACTTGCTGTTACGAGGAAGGGTCAGGTCAGAATGTGGAGTGTAATCCACCCCACAGTCACTGGGGGTGTGACCTGGAAGGGTGTATCTCTCTTCCCAGCTCCTCCTTTCACTTGGCTTCCTGGCTGCCATGAGGTGAGCAGCTTTCCATTGCCAGACCCTTCCACCATGCCTTCCTGCCTTGGAACCAGCCAGCCATGGACTAAAAACATAAGCCAAAATAAACCTCTCCTCCTTTAAGTTATGGGTATTGGATATATTGTCCCAGCAATGAGAAAGCAACTAAGAACTGTGGAAGAAATTTAAAAGCACTCAAGGATCCTCAGAATCAGAAGAATGAGGGTAAACTGAAGTATTACATAGTCGTGGCATGTCTAAGGTGAAATCTAGTTCATTGATAGTGCATTTATCTAGCACAGTTGTAATTCAGTAACAGAACATTTACCTAGCACACGTGAGGCCTTCAGTTCCATCCCCAGCATGACCAAATTAACAAACAACTATAAAATTTGACCTGAAAGTCTTGAAAGAGGTAAAGAACCTTGCAGATATATTAGGGAACAACCAGAGCAAAGATCCCAGGCTGGAAGCATGCTAAAGTGTAAAACAATAATGAAGCCAGAGTTGCTGAAGCAAAGTGAACAAGCAGAGAGAAGAAAAACCAGTAAGGAAATGGGAGGCAACAGAGGCCTTTCAATTAATTTGTACTATCCTGGGAGCAAGGCAAAGGGAATTATAAGAAGAAAGTTCCAGATGCACAGCTGACCTTAAAAAACCAGTCTAGATTTGAGCAGGACTCCAAGAAGAAAATGAAACTGACAGATTATGTGTTAGATAGAACCATACTGAGAGATTTGTACTTTTACTGGGAAAGTTTCAAAATAAGCATTTGATGGTTACAATAAAAACTAAACAAATGAAAAACAGGACTGCGATTATTAACACTAAGAAAATAACTGATATGAAAAATCACCATCATAGACGTCTACAAGACTTAGATACAAATAATATTTATTTTATGCAGTCACAGCAATAAATTTTGATTAATAAAACAATATTCAACTGGTTGGGTATGGAGGCATATAACTAATTGCAGCTATTCAGAAAAGTGTGACAAAAAGATTTTAAGTTCAAGGCCAGTCTAGGTATTGTAAGGAGCCGTCTCAAAACAAAATTTTTAAAAAGGGCTGGAACTTGTGCCTGGTGGCACAAGTCTGTAATCCCTGCACTCTGAGAGGCTAGGACAAGAGGATCACAAATTCAAGCCCAGCATGGGCAACTTAGAATTTAGGGAGACCCTATCTCAACACAAAACAAAAAAAAAACACAACACAATACATCTAGAGGGGTACAGCTGTAGCTCAGCATAAAGGTATAAAGGTCGTGGGTTTCCAGTACTGAAAAAAAAAAAGGCGCGGGGACATTCAGGCTAGAGCTGGAGCTGTACCTCGGTGGTAGAACATTTGAATAGCGTATGTGAGGTCCTGGGTTTAATCCCCAATACTGCAGGGAAAAACAAAAATTTATGTAACTATGCTAGCAATAGGGAACAAAGATCTCTTAAACCCATTCCTCACCTCTAACTGTAGAAAATCAGTATAGAATATTTATTTGGAAATAAAGAAATCAAAATCAGAAACAGCTAAGTGGACTGAAAGTGATCAGCTATGAGAAGTGGAAGTGGGCAGAAATGGGAGTATGCTGGTTTTAAGTTTAGGCCGTATTTTATAAAAGTGGATGGCTTTAACAAAAATTTTTTCTTTTTCAATATTGGAGACTGAATCCAGGGTCTCGCACTAAGCTGTATCTCCAACCCCTTTTTATTTTGAAACAGGGTCTTGCTAAATAGCCCAGGGTGGGCTTGACTTTGTTTTCCTCCTTCTTCAACCTTCCAGAGTGCTAGGACTACAGGGATATGCCGTGAGACCTAGCTAGAAGGCCCTTCATGAGGTCGGAGATTTAGCTCAGTGGTGCTGCTGCTTGACTTGCAAGCCCAAGGTCCCAAATTCGATCCCCACTACAAAACAAACAAACAAACAAACAAGAAACAGGCCCCCCCCCTTTTTTTCCCCCCGAGACAAGGTCTTGCTATGTAGGCCTCAAACTTGAGGTGAACCTCTTGCCTCAGCCTCCCAAATGCTGGGATTATACACGTGTGCTATCATGCCAAGATGTTTGCCTTTTAATCAGAAAAATCACTAGTACCAAAGTATAAGTTTCCAAAATTACTTATTCTGAATGACTATTCTAGCAAATTACATAGAATATTTATAAAAATAAGTATGCGCAAGGAGTTTTGGCTCAGGATATCACCAGAGTATTGTTATTAATGATAAAATAATTTTTGAAAATATTTTATATTTTATTCATGCTACATAAATCAAACACATTTAGAATATTTATAGCAAAACTCAGTAGATAAGTTTTGACTGAACAGAAATGTCAATAATGAGTTTTTTTTTTAGTCCTATTTTTTGTTTTTGTTTTTTTAAGACAAAGTCTCACTATGCAGTCCAGGCTGGCCTTTAACTCACCTGCCTCAGCCTCCCAAGTACAGGCATACACCACTATGCCCAGCTTTGTCTTGTTTTTGAAACAGGGTAAGGGTCTCACTACAGAGGCTGGCCTCAAAAGTGTCATCTCTCTCTGCCTCAGTCTCCCACGTATTGGGATTACAGGAATGTGTAACCACACCTAGCTAAGACAATTCTTAAAACTAATTTCTATCCTAATGGTTCCCTACAAAATGATATAATATAACCCCTCAAGTTTCCTATAAACTGCTCTTTGGTATCACAGGTTTTCACATAACTGCACTAAATTACTATATGAACCATGTTTAATTATTGATATTATCAGACTGATAAAAACAGCCTTAAAGCAAATTGGGGATTTAGTGCAGTGATACCACGCCTGCTTTGCAATTGCAAGGTCCTGAGTTCGATCCCCAGTACCGAAAAAAGCCTAAAGCAGTAGTAGAGAATCTACTGCATGCATGCCACAGCACACAGAGCCTTCTCTGTCAGCATCTGAGCCAAGTCATCCCAGCCAAGGTTTGACAGCATGCATACAACAGTGAGATCACATTAATTGTGCAAAAAGCCTGTCAAATGCAAACTTTTACCTTTCAATAAAAAACCGTATCATTGAAAGCTCTGCTCTTGTGTTTTTATTTATCATAAAAGATATTCATGAGTTGTATTTTCTGAACTACAACCTCAGTATTCAAGTTAATTGAAGTGTTGGCACTGTGTGATAAGTGGATTTTAGGATGCAGTTTGGACACTCAGTATCTAAAAGATTCACCATCACTGACCTAAAACTAGAACCAGGGGCAGTAGTACATGCCTGTAATTTCAGCACTTGGTACGCTGAAGCAGAAGGATCACAGTGAGTTCTAAATCAGCCTGGGCTACACAGTCAATTCAAGACCAGCCTGAACTACATAGTGAAACCCTTCTCAAAAAAAAAAGATAGCCTAAAGCTATATGTTAGCATGAAACCATACTTTCTAGTATTTTTAGTAAGAGAATTCTAACTTGACATTAATTTATATTGTTTTTGTTTTTTTGTTTTTTGAGACAGGGTCTCACTATGTAGTTGAGACTGACCTGGAACTCCCTATGTAGCACAGGCTGGTCTTGAACTAACAGTGATCATCCTGCCTCAGCCTCCCGAGTACTGGGATTACAGGCGTGCGCCACCACACCCGGCTTGACATTAATTTAAAATATATCAGCCAGGTGTGGTGACACACATCTGTAATCCCAGCACTCAGGAAGTTGAGACAGGAGGATCACCACAAGATCCTATCTCAAAAGAATCAAATATAATAAATAAATAATATGAGGGCAGACATGGTGGCACACATTTGTAATCCCATCTACTAAGGAGGCTGAGGCAGAAAGGTCAAGAAAAACCTGGGCAACTTTGCAAGACTTCCTGTCTCAAAATAAAAACTTTAAAAAGGGACAGGGATCTCAGTGATAGTGCACTCTTGGTTCAAACTCCAGTATCACAAAAAATAATAAATTCTAATTTAATTATGGGCTGAGTGATGTAGTTCAGTGACACAGTACTCACCTAGCATGCATAAATCCTGAATTCAATCCCAGGACAACAAAAAACTAACTTAACTATGCTTATTCTCACTTTTTTCCTTGAGTGTATCTTCTAAAATTAACTCACAATTTAAATAGGAATATTATAAATTCCTATTCCAAAATAATGCAGTAATCATAGGCTATAGAAGGCCACAAAATAAAAGTGCTTCACAAAATTTCTCAAATAATAAAGCTGTTTTTACCCACAAGTCAGAGAAATCAGAGATTTTTATTATTGTATTTAAAAATATGTTTTCAGAGATTATTAGCTGTGTTGCAGGTCAGTTGGTTTAGTTCACATTAGGGAATGTGATGTTACAAAGGTAACATATATTTAGGCAAAAATTAGTCTAAAGTTTTCACCTTTAAATTCCTGAGCTATTACTCTACTTCTACTAGATAATACTGGCTTCAGCCATTTACATTACTGTACTTACATGTTAACTAAACTGATGTCATTCATAAAACTGATATATAGCACATGAGAATGCTATGACATGAATCCCTTTAATACACCGAGAATTTTCGATTAAGACGTAGAAAAGAAATGACAAGCTCAACATAGGACATTACACACTCAGCACATAGCAATATTAGGAGACAGGTGTTTTTTCTGCATCACACAGCCAACTAGTCTTAGTCATTAAATATTAATCTTATAATAAGTTATAAAATACGTTTTAAGGATAACTTTAAGGTCTATCATTTCCATCTCTTTATATGTGCATTTCACTGTCAAACAAATTATATATTGGAAAAAAATGATTCCTACAAAATTTATTTGAAATCTTAATTTCAAAAAATCACAAACCTCTGCTCAATTTCTTTGGGGGCTGGAGGTGTTAAACCAGGAATCCAATCCAGTGCCTCACACATGCCAAGCCTGTACTTTACCTTCTGTTCAATTTCTAAACCAAGCACAAGCCTCACCTTGCTCAATGCATAAAGATCCAGGATTTTTCTCTCAACCACAGGGATCTTCAAAGTAGATCCTTGAAGTTCCCAAAATTTTGCCAGTTGATCTAAAAAGTCCAGTCTCACCCTAGTCATTGCCTATTATTAAAATACAGAAATCAGAAATAGGAAATATTATGGTTAAAAACAAATGAATCAATCTTAACATAATAAAAATGCTCATTTCTCTAAAGAAATTCAAAGACTTCATGGTTTCTTAGTCCATCACTGTTTAAAAAAAAAAAAGCCAATAGGAAAGAGACAAAATACTGCTAATATTTCAGTGACTAGGGCAAAAGTGTCATTCTAACATATATAAAATGTTCTCGAGTATGCAAAGCATTTTTCTGAAGGTGGCTTAAATTTATGTGATCATAAACTTTAGTAGACCAGATTTTTCCAAGTCTCCAAGCATTTTAATTTTGTCAGTTCCTCTGCATGTAATGTTCACATTTTAGGGGCATCAACTCTCACAATGATTTTATGGACAGATAGGTAGGTAGGTAGGTAGGATAATATATATATAAAATCTCAGAAAATACTTTAAGAGAATGGGGGGGCTCAGCATGGTGTAACAAGACTTAGCTATCAAAAGATCTTTTGTACTCAGAAGTGGTTTTATTACCACACTAAAAAATCTTCTGAAAATCTGGGAGAGGAAAAGAAACAGCAATATTTAAACAGATTTCACTTTAGAAAATTTAAGAGAAAGTAGTGGTATTTTATTTTGTTTTTCCCAGTACTGGGAATTGAACCCAGGGCCTTCACATTCAGCTACCTGCTCAGCCCTTTTACATATCTTTATTTTGAAACAGGGTCTCACTAAATTGTCCAGGCTGAGTTCAAGCTCACAATCTTCTAGCCTCAGCCTCCCAAAGTACTAGTTTACAGGTACAGAACACCGTAACTGGCCTTGGTTTTTGCTTGCTTGTTTTGGGGTTTTTTTTGTTTTGTTTTGTTTTTTATGTTCTGGTTCTGAGGACCAAACTAAGGACCTTGCACATGCTAAGTACAGGGTCCACTGATCTACACATCCTCAGCCCAAGAGATATTACAATACTATTTAAAGAGAGATCATAATAAATTAACAGTCCTGGAAAAAACTCAGTTAAAACAAAAAACAATAACAATAAACAGGAATGATAGTGCAATGGTGACTGCCTGTAATCCCAACATTCATGTGCTAGCTTCAGCAGCACATATACTGACACTCAGGAGGCTGGGCTGAGAGTTCAAGCCAGTATGAACTACATATAAAGACTCCACCTCAAAAACAAACAATCTTTGAAAACTAGATTTTATATAGAATTTAAAAATTTATTTCCCAAAGGTCAGGGGGGAGGACTAAAAAGAGATTACAAAAAAAAAAAAGTAAACACTGAAGAAAATAGAATTTAAGAATTCCAAGTCTCTGAAGCTAAACACTGGATACTTTAATCAATCTTTTAAAAATCAGATACTTCCTCCAAACATCAAGTAACTATTGTATTCAATCCTAATAGAAACTAATACAAACTCTGGACCCTGATACACGAGTCTCTGTCTCTACCCAGACCCCTGCATAAAGAGTCAGGAAGAAGAAATGGTTATATTTAACACTCACCTCAAGTTCATTCAGGCGCTGGACTCTAGGAGTAAAACGAAAGCTTTTTACTTCACATGCAAATGGTGGCTGCCAATCCTAAATAGAAAGAATTTTTTTATAGAAAGAATTCGTTTAAACACAATAGTATATAATAAGCAAGGAATGCATCATTTATTCCCTTAATTTAAGGGGTAAATTGTCACAAATTACGATGACAACAGATCAGCTCATAAATACTTTTATCTTTTCTTGGCAGTACTAGAGATTGAATCCAGGGCACCATACAGCTGAGCAACAATCCCAGCCCCTCTCCTACTCCCTGCTTTTTTATTATTGTCCTTGTTGTTGCTATTTTGGTATTCTGAAGCAAGGTCTCATAAATTAGCTCATACAGGATTTGAACTTATGATCCTCCTATCTCAAACTCCCTAAATGTTGGGATTACAGATATGCTCCACCGACCCTCACTAAAACTTCCTTTATTGTAGACAGGAAGAAAACAGTATTTTTGAATATAAAGCAATTTTAATATTAGAGAACTAATCTTCGAATCTCACCAGTCTATTTATAGCCCACAATTATGCTTTCCCAAATTACTCAAAAAGATTTCAGTGAGTTCACATACCATAAAAGTTTACAGCAACATACAGCTTTACCAAATTAAAAGGAAAATATTGGGGGAAAAAAAGTAAAATTAAAGATTAAAAAAGCGATTTTTAGGACTGAGACTGTAGCTCAGTGGTATAGCAATCTCGTAGCACATATGAAGCCCTAGGTTTCAGTGCCAGCACCACAAAAAAATTTTTGAAAAGTATTCATGAAGAATCAGGCAGGATGAATAAATACTGTAATGCTATTAAGGAAGCTGAGGCAGGAAGTTCACAAGTCTGAGGCAAGTCTGTGCAACTTAGGCCCTAAATTAAAAAATTTAAAAAGGGCTGGGATGCAGTCAGAGCACCTACATAAGTGAAGTCCCAGGTTCAATCCCCAGCACTAAAAAGGAAAAAAAAAAAGTACAACACACTGAAAGACAGCTTGAGCCCATGTGTTTGAGACCAACCTAAGCAACGAAGACCCCTTCTCACAAAATAAAAAGTATTTGCCTATTTAATTCCAACATTCTGGGAGGCTGAGGCAGAAGGACCAGAAGTTCAAGCCCAGCTTGGGCAACTCAGCAAGACTAATTAATAAAGTTTAGTGAAGTTCTGGGTTTAATACCAGAATCACACACACACACAAAAAAAGTATTTATGTACAGTGGTACCTCAGTTCATGAACGCTTTCGTTTGCAAACAATTTGATTCAGAAACAGAAGCATTTAGCAAAATTGTTTCTGTTGGGCCAGGGATTTAGCTCAGGGGTTCTGCTGTCTGCTTCGCAAGGGTAAGATCCCGAGTTCAATCCCCAGTACCAAAAAAAAAAATTTTTTTTTTGTTTGTGAACTCTGCATTGGGTGATGAACATTTCCTGCAAGAACACAAACATGGCTATCTCTACCAGAATTGTGGAATGAGTTAAGTTTGTGAACTGAGTGAGATAATTTTTTGATAATTTTTAAAACATATGTATGAATATAAGCATTTTAGCGTATATGTTTTGTTCAAAGCTCTGGGATTACAGATGTATACTAAGCTAATATTTTTTAATAGTAAAGAAACCCACAAAACAGAGACTATTTCCAGACTGTGATATAACTAAAATGAGATCATATATTTGGTTCTAAAGACCTAGATTTGGGGAGGGGGTGTTGAGACAGGGTCTCGCTACATAGTTTAGGTTGGCCTTGAACTCACTGTGTAGCCGGCTAGGCTGGCCTCGAAGTGGCAGCAATCCTCCTGGCTAGCCTCCCAAATGCAGGAATTACAGGCATGCGCCACCATGGCTGGCTAGATTTGATTTAAATATTAAGTCCATTTACAGACATGAGCAGTAGTCCAAAAAAAAATGTCCCTTACCTTGGAAACTCGAAGAAATCCTCCAATATTAAAATGAAACTCTACTTGTAAACTAGATCTACTTTCAATAGCAATGTGACTGATATCCACAGAAAAAGTGTATTATTTCAGCCTTTATTTAAGTAATAAAAACAACTTTTTTTTAACCATGAAGGATCCGTGAATAGATTTCTAATGACTGCAATTCCAGTACATGAACATATGATTTAGAAAAACTTGAATGCTTAAAGTTTGGTCAATATGAGGTAACTTTGTTCGATTTTTTTTGTTTTGTTTTGTTTTTTTGGTACGGGGGATTGAATTCGGGTCTCTGCGCTTGCAAAGCAGGCGGTGGAAACTCTGAGCTAAATCCCCAACAATATGAGGTAACTTTGATAGAGGAGTTAAATGGAAGCTTTTAAAGGATCACAAGACACATAATCATAGCAATTATTTTTTTAATCCTTTCCTTAAAACTGATAGTGTATAATCTTAATAAAATCCATTCTGCAAACTCATTTACTGTAGCAGTCAGCATAGTGGGAGCAGGACTTCTATTTTAGAATCAGGAAAGTAATCTGGATTCAAAATCCACTTTGCCACTTGCTCAGGATCACACATGTGTCAAGTGTTTTAACTTACCCAGACTTTCCTCTCTACAAAAAGAGTTTTATTTACCGACTGGGTCTTCAAAGATTAAATGAAACAATCTCTAAGTGCTAAATTAACTCCTCCTCCTCCCCCCTCCCATCTAAGCTTTTAATTCATTGTGGTACATATTCCTGTGGTAAAGTAGTTGGTTGTGAGGGTAGGATTTTTTTTTTTTAATGCAATACACATGACACTGCTTTAGTTTTATCTTAACACTAGACAAAACATAAAGCAAAATGTCTCTAAGAATACTGTTGATTCAGGCCCAGCCTGGGCAATTTAGTAACTTAGCTAAGTCTCAAAAAAGAATAAAGACTTGAGGATGTAGCTCAGGGAAAAGGTCCCTGGTTCAATTCCCAGCACCAAGGGGGAAAAAATTCATAAAAAGGACTGGCAATTTAGCTCCGCAGCACAGTGCCTGCCTGGCAAGTGCGAGGCCGTGAGTTCGATCCGGGTACAAAAAAAACACCTTTTTTTTTAATTCGTAAAAAGTGAAGTACCTAAGCAAAGGCTCACAAACCAATTTGTACTGAATATCTCTAAGTACTTGCTAGAAAAACAGACACCAGATAATTCACACCCAGAAATCCTTTATTTATTTTTGGCTTTGCCAGAAATGGAACCCAGGGCCTTGCAGGAGCTCGGCAAGTGCTTCATCTCCAGATCCTAGCTCTAGTCTTAAACAGGTCTAGCGATTTGCCTTTTAACAAATATCCAGTTGACGCTCATGCAGGCTGTCCAACACCATTTGCAAAGCACCAGTCTAACAGGTAAAAAAACAAAAATACGTTTTGACCTTGAGCATATCACTCAACCTCTTAGGGCATTAATTAACTCCATATAAAAAGCAATATCTGTTTTCCTTACCTTAAAGACTGAGAATTATAATTGGCAAACCTAGTATTTCCAATAATTGCAATTCTTAAGTCTTTGCTCCTTAGTTACTTCTATCAGGAGATTTCAACGTTTCCTTCCACTTACATTATTTGCCAATTCTTCCTAAACCTCTGAACTTCAAAAATAATTGATGCTCTTCCCTGGGGAAGACTTTCTCACAGCAGCAGTAATTAGCCTGGAGTCTCGTCTAGTGATGTTGTCCTAGAGGACTACTGGAGCTCGGATTACCTTTTAAGAAACCATATCCCTGATATATGGCTTGCAAATGTCTGATAAACTAAGCACTACAGGGCTTGAATAAAGAAACAGCCGCCAGAATGGCAGTTTCTACTAGCAAACCATCATGAGCATCGTACTAGTGAGCGCAGAGCCTGTCAGATCAAAACATTTCAACCATCTTACCAGCCAACGAGGCCTGAAGCTTTCTGTTACCCTTGCCCCAACCCATATAAAACTATCACTTCTCAAGGTTTAGAGAGGAAAGACACCACTTTCTCGCGTGAAGGATTGCCAATATAAGACTACAAGAAACCAAGGCCAAAAAAATATCCAGAAAAGTAGTCTCCAATTGTCGAGAAAAAAGGGAGAGCATTATGAAAGGCCAGAAGTACAGCCATGCCAAGCAAATCGACTCCCATTCTCCCTCCTCCCTCTTAGCAGACACAGGTACCTTAGGCGGTCGTATTTTGCAGATGCCGGTTTTCTCAGCCAGAGGCCGGATGCGGCCGATAAAGCTGAGTGGATCTGTGAACTCCTCCCAGCTGGGCTCAAAGACTGGGCACTCTGGAGGTGGCACGAACTCCGCCGCGTAGCCCCCCGGGCCCACGCCCGCCATGGCAAGAGCCAGGGACCCCTGTGGGAAACAGGTGGAGAAAGGCTGGCGGGAGCCCTTTCACCGAGCCCTTTCACGTCGCCTCACAGGGGCCGAAAAGCATCTTCTTAGAGAACTACGCTACACAGAAACCCAGATCCGCCTCTTCCTGCTGTTTGTTATTGTTTCCTTCAAGGTTTTTCCTCTCAGATCCCGGACTTTCCGGAAGTTACCGTGCTGTCAAGTCCCTCCGCCACCGCAAAAACAGAGTCCCTCCGCGGAGAGGAGACACCTCGGCATACGACCTTCCCTTCTCTCCTTTTCCGTCGGCCCACCGTCGCTTTTCCTTTGCTGGCTCCCCAAGGTTCTGCGCAGTCCAACAGCCGCCGGAGGGGCCCCCCTACTCCGTGAAAGGCTGCGATTCCTCCAGAGGAGAGGTGAGAGCTCGGCGGGACGCGCTTCCGGCGCGGAGGAATGAGTTGTGGCCTGAGGGCAGAGGTTCCGCTTCCGGTGGGGAGACCTGTCCTCTTTGTGCCTTAATGGTCGCCCAAATCAGAAGGGCCTGTCCTGCCCTTCCCCCCGCCCCTGCTTCTCCACGTTTCTCCGTGACTTCTAACGTACTTGTACGCGTTTGCGCAGGTAACTAATCTTTACAACACTTATCTCTTTGTAATCCTTTGACCGCTAGTATTTACGAATACACTCGGTCTATTTATACCCACCTCTTGGATGCAAATTCGAGTAGAACCCGTTCCATCTAGGAACTGCTCTTCCTGTTACACGGAAAACAACTCTTGACCTTAATTTTCTACACCCGACCTCAATCATTTCTTTTCTCTTCTTTTTTCTTTTTTGTTGAGACAGAGTCTCACTGTGTAGTTCAGGCTGGCCAGGCTGGCCTCAAACTTGCAGTGATGCCCAGGCCTCAGTCTTCCAAATTCTGGGATTACAGGTATCACGACCACGCCCAGCTACCCAAATCATCTTATTTTCACAGCAACCAGCTCCTGCACCATATGCTGTGTTCTTTTTCATTCTGCTATGGCAACTGTTCTGAACGTGCTTGTTAAAAAACCTTTATGCTGGCCGGGCATGGTGGCGCACTCCTGTAATCCCAGCACTCGGGAGGCTGAGGCAGGAGGATCGCTATGAGTTCGAGACCAGCCTGGGCTACATAGTGAGTTCCAGGTCAGTCTCAACTACATAGTGAGACCCTGTCTCAAAAAACAAAACAAAACAAAACAAAAAACCCTTGTACCAGTGTCTATCTCTTACTTCCTTCAAATTGTGGAGAATAATGTGAACAGGACTAAAAAAGAAACCATGAAAGTGTAGTTCTTAGTATTAAGTAAACTTTCAGAACAAAACGTTCTTCCTATGCCGTGTTTTCAAACTGAGATACTCCCTGTGAAATCTCAGGCACTGCCAGGACTGAAATTGCCAAACTTAGGGTAATGCCTCATAAATCCAGCTTAGATATGAGTCCTAAGTTACAAGCCAATACATTTACCTACCCACTAGACGGTTACAGTCCACTTGGTTAACTCAAAATCCCTAAAACTTGTCACTGGACTTTATCTACTCAATGGCCTGAATAAAAAAGAATCAAGAAATAATCCCAATTCTCCCTGGCCCCTTACATCCCATATAAATTGTCTCAAATCAAGAGATTCTGTCACCTAAAAATCTTAAAGCTACCCATGTATTGGGCTGGGGATGTAGCTCAGTGTAGAGCACTTAGAATATGTGAAGCTCTGGGTTCCATCCACAGAACCAACCAACAAACAAACACCTGTGTCTCTCCATCCTTGTTACCACTATTTTAATTTAAATTCACTCTCATCTGAACTATGGTAACAGATCAGTTCCTTTCCCTTCTCAAATCCTTCTCCACTCATTACCTAATTGGATTGCTTTGTGTAAAATAAAATTCATGTGAACAACTCCAGACTTCTTTATTTGCTATATCACTCTCAAGCGTCATCTCTCCTCCTTCTCCATATAATAAACAAAATGTTCTGTGGGGGCTTTAATGCACCATGCTTTTTCTCATTTATAAGCTTTTGCAGATTATTTCCTCTGGAACATTTTTGTACCCACCTGACCCACCTTATCTTTACAATTTCATATATCTCCTTCCTACTTATGATCTATCTAACCAGATTAAATAGCACTTCCTTTGGAAAAACCTTACCTACACCTCACAGTTAATGTATTCAGCAGTAACCTGTGTGTACTTCTTTGTCAAACATTTTGAAATTGTTTAATTGCCTTTCTTTCTTAGACTGTAAGCTACACAAAGGAAAGTACAGTGTCTTATTGACTATTATTTCTCCAGCTTCTACAATAGTCAGTCTTGGCATATAGAAGGCATGCAATAAATATGTTAAATGAATAAATAGGTGGATTCATCTAATAAATACATTGGGTTCATAAACCAACTTGCTTTGTACTTCATTGTATCATCTTACATTTATGTATAGTGTTGTGAGACTAGCATAATATCTAACATAATATCCCTCCATTTAATTATAACATTCACAAATGCCCGTTTTGCATACCCACCAGCCTAAACCTCAAACACAAACACTCTCCATCAATCTTTCTATTTCAGTAAGCCTTTGTTGTATAACAAACTGCATCAGAGCTTAGTGACTGAAAATAAAAATGATTTATCACAATTTTGCAGGCTGACAATTTGATGTTCCCACAACCTCACCTCGGACCACCTGTACAGTTGCAGTCATGAGTGTGATGATTAAGGTTATATGTCAGTTTGACTTGACCAGTGCCCGGATATGTGGCCAAACATTCTAGGTATTTCTCTCTGGGTGTTTGGGGATAAGATTGACATTTAAGTCAGAGGATGTTGAGTAAAGCATATTGCCCTCCATAAAGGGCTTCATCTAATCACTTGAAGGCTTGAACATAACAAAACACAGACCCCTGAATAAGATAGTATTTTGGCAAGCTTTGCGCCTTGAACTGTAGCTTCAGCTTTTTCTTAGGTCTCCAGACTGCCAACCTATCTCACAGATTTTGAACTTGCCAGCTTCTATAATCTTGTGAGCCAGTTCCTTAAAAAGGAATCTCTCTGGGCCAGGAGTGGTGGCGTGTGCCTGTAATCCTAGCACACTAGAGGGTGAGGCAGGAGGATCACTGTGAGTTCAAGACCAGCCTGGGCTACATAGTTCCAGGTCAGCCTCAACTACATAGTGAGACCCTGCCTCAAAAAAAAAAAAAAAAAAAAAAAAACTGCATGCACACACACACACACACACACACACACACACTCCTCACCCCATTAGTTCCTCTGGAGAAACTGAATATAACTGGGGTTGGTTGGGTCTAAAATGGCCTCATTCAAATGTCTGACAGTTGGTAATTGGTGCAGCTATTGACTGGGAAGCCTAGATTGTCCATGTGGCCTCTTATTTCAGCAGTACAGTAGGCTTTCCAGCATAGTGGCCTTTGCATTGTGATAGGATAAGATTGAAAGCAGAAAACTAAGGCCTAGACTCCAAAATATTTACCATCAGTTACATTCTGTCAAAGCAAGTCAAAAGACTGGCCCAGGTTCAGGAGCATGAGAAAATCAACTCTATTTTCCTTGTTCATTTATTTTTGTAGTGCTAGGGATCAAACCCAGGGCCTTGTGCACACTAGATAAGCAGTATACCACTGATCCATACCTGTAGCCTAGACTCCTTTTTTTTTTTTTTTTTTTTTTTTGAGACAAGTTCTCACTGTAGTTCAAGCTGGCCTTGAACTTACTGTGTAGCCCAGGATGGCCTCAAATGTATGGCAATTTTCCTGCCTTAGCATCCCAAGTGCTGGCATTACAGATGTGTATCATCACACCTGGCTAGATACTATTTCTTTTTGCTTTTTTCTCTCTTTTTTTTTTGCGGGGAGGGGTACCAGGGATTGAACTCAGGACCTTGCGCTTGCAAGACAGGCAGCGGAACCACTGAGCTAAGTCCCCAGCCCTAGATACCATTTCTTGATGGGAAGAATGACAATATCAAATTACAAAGTGATCATGGGCTCGGGAAAGCATGATTCATTGCACACAAGTATTGTAATTTACAGTAAGCCTTAGAGATTTAACCTTTTCACTTTCGTGTAGCTCAAATCTGGAAAATCACATGATTCAAAAAAGGTGGAAAATAATAGAATTTAAAGTAAAGCAATCATGAAGACTTCTGGAAAGATGGAGGAGTGGTGAACAGCAGAAAAACAGGACGTCTCAGAGATTTGGTGTCCAGATGCTGTAAAATACCAATGTAAGGAAGACAGAAAGAGGGAAGTGGGTCCTCGGTCCTCAGGACCAGCAAGGATTAGAAGCAAGAATTGAGGCACATGGAGAAAGTGAGGAGAGAAATGTCAATGAAGAAGAAGGAGATGGCAAAGGGCACTTTCTCCCTCAGACCTGACTCATTGCATGGAAAGGGCTGCTTGAACCTGCAGATCCAAGGTGACTACTGGTGACCCCAGAGGCCTCCATGGAGAGAAACATCAGTGAAACAGAGCAGTGCATGCAGCAGACTGCAGTGGTGAGTGAGTTGAGTTATTAAGATGTTCCCAAAATAGGGCAATTAGCCATTTGTCATCTTGGAGAGGAGCTAACTGAGCTGGAAACTCAAAGAAGCTGTAGGCTGGCTCCATAAGGGTAAAGCAGAACCAGATTCAAATCAACAGGAAGTCAAGAAGCAGGGAGCTGAGTTCAAGCTGGCAGGAGGCACAGAGTGTTGCAGACTGAACAAATCAGGTTCCATCCTCAGCCAGAAACTAGCCTGAGCTTCCAAACTAAAGGTCAAGGCTTGCTGGGATTATCTACTACCTTCCATAAATCTATGGCTGGCTTTTTGGGATTAATCAACACAGAAGTCTAGCGGACTTCTGGGAAGATGGCAGAGTGGTGAGCAGCAGAGAAAGAGCCTTTCTGAGATTTGGTGTCCTGACACTGAAATATAGAGGTGCAAGGAGGAGAAGGAGGGTACTGGGTCCCTGGGATCCAGGAAGGATCTGAAGCAAGAAATGAAGTTCATAGAAAGAGTGAAGGAGAGATTATAATGACAAGAAGGGAGGTAGCAAGCAGTGCTCTCTCCCAGAGCCTAGACACTCAGTGAGGGAATGACAGGCTGAATCTGCAGATGCATGTTGACTACTGGTAACCCTGGAGGCCTCCACAGAGAAACCAGTGGAACAGAGCAGTAGATGCACCTAACTGCATGCAGCAGCTGGTAAGTTATCCAGGTTCAGATGTCACCCAGGAAGGGGTGATTGGCTGACAGCATCTTGGAGAGGGGCAAACTGATCTTGGAACTCAGAACCGCTATAGCCAACTCCATCTAGTGACTCCCAATGCCTTGGTGTGGGTGCTGAGTTCAAGGCAGCAGGAGATAAGGAGCAGAGTACAAGCCTGCAGGAGGCATATAGACGGCTGTAGGATC